CTCCCCAACAACAAAATGGTTCCACACAAAAACAACTCAAGCCAAGTTTAACGTGAAGCTAAGTATCTTGATTCTATTAGACTTATCCACAATTCTTTTCTTTCAATTACTTGTACATGAAGGTTGGGTCATTTGATACTTAAGTGTGAGATTCCATGGTATGTGCTGCATCTTCGAGGACCAGGCATATCTGTGATGAACATCGCTTATGTATCAATGGCACTTCGAGTGGACATGAGCTGTACCTTTGAGGATCAGCTATGTCTGCGATTTTCTCCGAGTAAATATAGTGTTTTGAAGGATGGGTCTTTTGATACTTAAGTGTGAGATTCCATGGTATGTGCTGCATCTTCGAGGACCAGGCATATCTGTGATGAACATCGCTTATATATCAATGGCACTTCCGTATGGACGTGAGTTGTATCTTTGAGGATCAGCTATGTCTGCGATCTTCTCCAAATTACTATCAAGTAAATATAGTGCACTTATCATACACTCATTCTGATAAGTTTTTTTATCTAGTATAGCTGGTTTTGTATTGTACTTTGGGATTATTGCTCGGGCTCAGCACAGTAACGATACTTACAAATATGCACAGCCAACGTGGTAACATGTATGTTGATGGACACGATGACTGAGGTACGTTTATCTTAAAAGAAACATCCGCTCTAATGAGAATACTCTTCTCGGTCAAACTGATCGTGCATATGATGGATTATAGCTCGATTAGGCATGACTAGATTGCACAGTTTGACTTCGTATCCGGACTGTGTCGGTTCCTCGCAAATTTCTGATCCAGGTTCGCTCTATTAACATCAAGCTATTGGAGCACAAATGGCTTTTGGTGGTTAGCTTCAAGATTCGCACTCGTCACCGTAATGAAGGAGGATTGGAGATATTGGATCTTTTGTTCAACACTCAGCGCTTCAATTTTGGTGGCTGCTTCCTGATATCCATGTGGACACTGATCAACGAGTGGTTCAAGCCTTTAGTCAATGCAGTGTACTATCTTCATCATCCTCATAATTGTTCCAAGCGGCATGTCTTTACCGACAGCATCATCTTGGGTCGACTTACAAACGGCATCTTCTTCCTTTTTGCAATAAACGTAGTTGCAACCGTAATCCTATTATAAATAACAATAGCCTTGTGTGAGTCTAAGATATCATGGCCACAACCCCCGGGTCTCTAATGTATCTTTCAATTTGTCTAATTTGGATGACGATAACAAAAGAGGGTAGGCCTTGCTCTGAGGCTAACACTATTTCCTGTTCATTTCTGCAGTTAACTTGCACAATCATACGCACTATAGTACTATAGGAACTAGTTTTTTTGCTGTGCTAGAAAATCGGCCATGTGTTTAAGTATCCAGGATGTTAAAATAGGAATTGTTTAACGGTTATGCATATATTATGAGCAAGTACAGTAGATAATTGATTCTGCAATAACCCCCAATTCAAGAACGTGCAAAAGGAGCAGAATATAGCGTTGAATCTTGGACTTATATGGAGGTCTTCCATGCTTATTGACGTTGTTCTGACTTGACATTTGGCATGGTATACGTAGTACATATACACATTCAGCACTGTGAGAAAAAAACCTCAATATACGTTCATCTTATGGGTCGGCGAAAGCGTGGAACGCGTTCAACTGCGTTTACGATTGGGTACATACATCGTGTCTTATTGGTCGTTATACGTATAGCTGTATGTATCCGTTTGGGAGCATCATTAGATATTTCATCGCTATCCACATTCCTCCATTGATCCTCATTTTATATATGCATAAAACTGATTTTGCTTGGATGACAATATGTTCATTCGATTCATATTTGTAATGTGTGGTATACAAGCGAATAAGTGTTCAATTTTTATCAGTTGTGGCCATGACCACGACCACGGACACCACAACCGCGCGGACGGGCACCACGAGCACCGACGCAAGCGCCACTGGTGCTGTCAGTGAAGTCATTAGCAGAGCCATCGCACGAACGGACGCGTTTGTACGATGTAGTCTCAGTTTCAAATGTGTTATCATACCAAGACAGCATAAGACTGGTGCTGCTGCTGTACCGTGCTGATCATGCACTGCTGGTGATAAGGGTTGTGCACTAGCGACCGTTGTCCCGTTGTCACTGTTTGCTAGTGATGTTTCATCATGGGAGGTCGATGATGATTGGGTGCTGGCATGGGGGTTTGATAACGATAAGGTTGGAAGGCGTGTGGAGGTCCATGTGACATGATGTTTAAACAAGTTTATACTTTGATACGTCTACAGTACATGTCGGTCTATAAACAAAGTTATTCATTGTCTTCTTTAGTATAGAAATTAAAATAACGACGACTTACGATTGACGTTGCGTGCTCCCTATCAAAAAGTGAACTATCCTTAGATATGTATTACAGCTTTGGAAAGTGAATTTCGCCGCACGAAACACAAATAAGCCATGATTTTGAAACTGGGCCACCGGTCTTAAAGTTAAGCTACTGTATGTCAAAGCAAATTTAAGCTATTCAACTTTCAAAAATGCTATGACTACGCTTGAAACCCTTTTAGACATACGTGGTGATTTAATAGCCGTGTACATTTTTTAATGTGCTTGACTGTGCTTGTTATAGAATGATATTGTCTTATATGGATATATGGAAGATGACGATGAAAAAATGTTATTTCTCGTAGGTGAATCTGGAAAAGCTATGGAACGGTAAATAATTGACAGAGTTTAAAGTAATAAGAATACAAAATGATAGAAATGATGAAATGCATATACAAATGGTAAAAGGGATATCATATATAAAAGAACGTTATATTAATCGGTATCCGCACCAGATATTTTTCTTTTTTTGGGCGACGGAATGCAGGGTGGTATCGTTGATGTTGGGATAGGATCGTCAATGGTTGGGATGAAAATGTTGTTGTCGGTATTGAGGCATTGTAGCGTTTCTTTTAACAAGGTTTTACATTGCCAGACCAACGTAACCAAGGGAATGAAATTTTTAAAGAACGTTTCGGGAATGAGTGGGAATGGCATCGGACCCAAGGTATACACACGGCAGGCATTACCGGACGGAATGTCCATCAATTTCACCGTCAGCTCGGTACCTATTAATGGAAAAGGTCAGAGATCCATTCACGTCATGTTTATCGATATAAAACGTTATTACCATTGATGATGAAACCTGGAACACATAATTGTTGAGTATCCTTGGTCGCCATCTTCAACAAGTTCCATAAAACATCTTTCAAGGACTTCGGGAGTTTAATGCTTGCTTCGGTTATGTATTTTGTAGAGACAGCTCCACCACTGAGTCCTGCCTCCCCGACACCAAAGTCATCATACAGATGTTTGATCAAAATGTCGACCTTCGTCCCCGTTTTTTTTCTTGTTAGTGGTGTAGCGCCAGGAACTGACCGATCTTCATTCATTCTGTTGCTTGAAGAAACACTGACTTTTTCACCACTAAATATTACGTATCCATGTTGAAGCATTTACATTAGTATAATTATATGTGCATATTTGTTCACAAAAACATAAGGAAGACATACCTAATAACATAAAACTTGCTTTCGTCATAGCACTTCTCGATAAATCCCCACAACCGACGAACCAGATCGGCTTCCGTTTTGTTGTCAACATCATAGCTATAATAGTATAGATCCAAGATGTCTCCAATTGTCTTTTCAACCCAATGCAAATCAGCTTGAGATGGGTGGAAGCGATTTTGCATATGGATATCAATAAGCTTGTTGAGATCGTACTACAAAGACAATACCCGGGTAAAGTTAGTATACAATAAATAATAAAGAAGGAAGAAGGAAGACATACAACACCGGAGAACTTGTCCAAGTATTCTTTAAGTTCATTTGGCAATGGTTTGAGCTCGGGCTTGTGATACGTGCGTAGCTCTACCAATTCAGCAGGTGTGAAATGCGCTTTCCAACAAGGATCACTGATGTCTAAGATCAATGAAAGAGAAGAGCTACCATACAAACAGAGGTCAGTTTCCTTAATATAGCCTATGTGTATAATATACAGTCAATAAAAGGTGGTACCTACTGTTCATATAGACATTCCTTGGCAAACGCATGCATCGTGTCTTCTACGATCTTTCCGGTCGATAACTGCCATTTTGGATACTTGAGCTTGCTATTATACATCTCGTTGACATACTCCAATACTTTTGCAGACAATGGCGTTCCAGATAGCGTTTTGGATGCTGATGATGTCAAACTACTTGGTTCACCTTCTTTGTTGATACTGGCTTCTATTGCTTTCCAGTTGGCTTTTCCTTTCGCCTATACAAAAATGCGTTTATGTCAGTAAAAAAGCTTTTTTTTTCGCATCCTGTCTTTATCAATATAACTTATTACCGTTCTGACACCGAGTTTCTTGACGATACGTCCGAAAGAGTGTCTCCAAAATGCCTTGTAGTTACTTATCTTCGATGAATTTTCAGCAACAAACCCTTGTTTATCAGCTAGAAACCGAGCAAGACAAATGTCGCCGCCAGCATTATGTTGTTCCTTCACGTACTTCTCGATTTCTATAAAAGTCAAAAGAGGCATTACAGCGTTTGTGAAAAACTTAAAGCTTTTGAAAGGCAGTAGACATACCTTCTTGGCATTTTTTTTGACGTGTTTCAGGATCTGAGATTTCCGTTCCCAAGGCACCATGAGGTGGAGGAGCCTCATTATCCAAGCTTCCACTTTCCATAATCGTTGTTATGGAGATTTCTTTTTAGGTTGCTATGGAGATGAAAGATGTTGCTGGTGGCGGACTTAGATGACGACTACAGGCATCCACCCCAACTTACAAAAATTAAAGGGTGGTGGCTGAGGCGGGTGCATTCTCCCTTTTTTTCCGTTGACAACATTTGGTCTGTTTCATCAACAATTGTACGATGATGGTATATGACTTTTTACAAAGGTGGCAAGATGATGTTGTTTGTCGTTATGGATATACAGAAATATCTCCTCTTCATATCTACCATTACTACTACTGCCGTTGCAAAAACCCATTAATTTGCATCTTTCTTCATACAACAAATGTACAAGAGCGCCCTAAACAGTAGTGACAACGAAAAACACACGCATGCATGGATATTCTTGCGTTAGTTTGTTTTTAACCAACCACTCGGAATACACGTTGGCAGACTGGGGCAAGAAATATTTACCGTTTCAGCATGCCGAATCTCTACACACTGCTTTTGATCAAATGCCAATAGATACGGTGTGCATAGACCACATGTCTGGGCCTTATCTCCCATTTGCACACGAAGGACACTGTCTGATGACGATCCATACCACCACCATTATCGGGGTCATACACACACCGATTATAGCATAGTCGCTCGCCATTGGCTGCCAAAGAGAGTGCCTTGCCGCCGCCGTTGACGCCACCACCGTCCTTTTGTAAAATCCGCCTACGCATGGCTTGGCCCGAAATATCCACCAGCGCAAAATCCTCGTCACATTCCATCACCAGCCAATGTCGTTCCTGTTCAATAAAACAAGAAAATCCAGATACTCGTACAGACTGGACATCAATAGTCTTGGCAGAACGTCGTTTCCTCGGATTCCACAAATGCACAAGCATATCCGCCCGGTCTTGATATGCAATGTATTAATCAATGACATGGAACCCGCCCAAGACATTTTCAATCATACACGGCTGCTGATCCCGCATCATGCGGTTATTATTTCCGTCGAGTTTGTATAACAAAAGGACTTGGCGACGGTGGCTGGTAACAACAAGAAATGGTCCGCTATCGTGGTGATGGTTCGTTGCAAAAATTGCTAGTTTGAAGCAATCGATTTCGATGATACGTTCACGTGATGGGTATAGGGTGACGCCATGATGTGATCCAACAACTAATCGTCCGTCTGGCAATCGAACAGCAGCAGTCCATGACTGTATGGTTGACGATACGAGTGGCGCATCAGACAACAAGTGCGGTTGCTTTTGCTTCAGTTCCTTTTGTGCATCAGCAATGGCTTCAACCAGTTTTTGTGGTGCATCTAACTGGACTCGTTAAGTGATCCCATGCGGTGGATGCGCTAGCGTTACTATCGCTGGTGCCGTTGTATCATGATGATGTGGTGGAACGATGCAAACAACAATAGGAAATGGATTAGACAAGACGGGTGGCAATAAGACCAGCACCACATGATCCCACACGATGATATTACCCAATTGCTGCTGCTGCTGTTGTTGTTGTTGACTACTACTACTTGATGTTGCCGTCGACGACACAACGACACTTTGTGCCTTGCATCGATACATGATACGTCTCTCTGGCGCATCCAGCCACCAAGCATTGCCGACCCACTTTTCAATCTCCAAAGGCTCGTTATTCGTCTCCAGCTGTTGGTTGAGATTATCCAGACACAGTGACAAGACGAACCAGATCGGCTTCCGTTTTGTTGTCAACATCATAGCTATAATAGTATAGATCCAAGATGTCACCAATTGTCTTTTCAACCCAATGCAAATCAGCTTGAGATGGGTGGAAGCGATTTTGCATATGGATATCAATAAGCTTGTTGAGATCGTACTACAAAAACAATACCCGGGTAAAGTTAGTATACAATAAATAATAAATAAAAAAAAGAAGGAAGACATACAACACCGGAGAACTTGTCCAGGTATTCTTTTACTTCTTTTGGCAACGGCTTGAGCTCGGGCTTATGGTACGTGCGTAGCTCTACCATTTCAGCAGGTGTGAAATACGATTTCCAACAAGGATCACTGATGTCTAAGATCAATGAAAGAGAAAAGCTACCATACAAACAGAGGTCAGTTTCCTTAATATAGCCTATGTGTACAAAATACAGTCAATAAAAGGTGGTACCTACTGTTCATATAGACATTCCTTGGCAAACGCTTGCATCGTGTCTTCTACAAATTTTCCGGTCGATAACTGCCATTTTGGATACTTGAGCTTGCTATTATACATCTCGTTGACATACTCCAATACTTTTGCAGACAATGGCGTTCCAGATGACGTTTCCTTGATATTCTGTTTCTATCATTTATGTGACATGTGTAACGGTGTATTTTGGCATAGTGTGACAGTCTTTTTAAAGGTCTTATTACAATATTGCTGGTGGCGGACTTCGATGACGACTCCCCAACAACAAAATGGTTCCACACAAAAACAACTCAAGCCAAGTTTAACGTGAAGCTAAGTATCTTGATTCTATTAGACTTATCCACAATTTTCTTTTCAATTACTTGTACATGAAGGTTGGGTCATTTGATACTTAAGTGTGAGATTCCATGGTATGTGCTGCATCTTCGAGGACCAGGCATATCTGTGATGAACATCGCTTATGTATCAATGGCACTTCCGAGTGGACATGAGCTGTACCTTTGAGGATCAGCTATGTCTGCGATTTTCTCCGAGTAAATATAGTGTTTTGAAGGATGGGTCTTTTGATACTTAAGTGTGAGATTCCATGGTATGTGCTGCATCTTCGAGGACCAGGCATATCTGTGATGAACATCGCTTATATATCAATGGCACTTCCGTATGGACGTGAGTTGTATCTTTGAGGATCAGCTATGTCTGCGATCTTCTCCAAATTACTATCAAGTAAATATAGTGCACTTATCATACACTCATTCTGATAAGTTTTTTTATCTAGTATAGCTGGTTTTGTATTGTACTTTGGGATTATTGCTCGGGCTCAGCACAGTAACGATACTTACAAATATGCACAGCCAACGTGGTAACATGTATGTTGATGGACACGATGACTGAGGTACGTTTATCTTAAAAGAAACATCCGCTCTAATGAGAATACTCTTCTCGGTCAAACTGATCGTGCATATGATGGATTATAGCTCGATTAGGCATGACTAGATTGCACAGTTTGACTTCGTATCCGGACTGTGTCGGTTCCTCGCAAATTTCTGATCCAGGTTCGCTCTATTAACATCAAGCTATTGGAGCACAAATGGCTTTTGGTGGTTAGCTTCAAGATTCGCACTCGTCACCGTAATGAAGGAGGATTGGAGATATTGGATCTTTTGTTCAACACTCAGCGCTTCAATTTTGGTGGCTGCTTCCTGATATCCATGTGGACACTGATCAACGAGTGGTTCAAGCCTTTAGTCAATGCAGTGTACTATCTTCATCATCCTCATAATTGTTCCAAGCGGCATGTCTTTACCGACAGCATCATCTTGGGTCGACTTACAAACGGCATCTTCTTCCTTTTTGCAATAAACGTAGTTGCAACCGTAATCCTATTATAAATAACAATAGCCTTGTGTGAGTCTAAGATATCATGGCCACAACCCCCGGGTCTCTAATGTATCTTTCAATTTGTCTAATTTGGATGACGATAACAAAAGAGGGTAGGCCTTGCTCTGAGGCTAACACTATTTCCTGTACATTTCTGCAGTTAACTTGCACAATCATACGCACTATAGTACTATAGGAACTAGTTTTTTTGCTGTGCTAGAAAATCGGCCATGTGTTTAAGTATCCAGGATGTTAAAATAGGAATTGTTTAACGGTTATGCATATATTATGAGCAAGTACAGTAGATAATTGATTCTGCAATAACCCCCAATTCAAGAACGTGCAAAAGGAGCAGAATATAGCGTTGAATCTTGGACTTATATGGAGGTCTTCCATGCTTATTGACGTTGTTCTGACTTGACATTTGGCATGGTATACGTAGTACATATACACATTCAGCACTGTGAGAAAAAAACCTCAATATACGTTCATCTTATGGGTCGGCGAAAGCGTGGAACGCGTTCAACTGCGTTTACGATTGGGTACATACATCGTGTCTTATTGGTCGTTATACGTATAGCTGTATGTATCCGTTTGGGAGCATCATTAGATATTTCATCGCTATCCACATTCCTCCATTGATCCTCATTTTATATATGCATAAAACTGATTTTGCTTGGATGACAATATGTTCATTCGATTCATATTTGTAATGTGTGGTATACAAGCGAATAAGTGTTCAATTTTTATCAGTTGTGGCCATGACCACGACCACGGACACCACAACCGCGCGGACGGGCACCACGAGCACCGACGCAAGCGCCACTGGTGCTGTCAGTGAAGTCATTAGCAGAGCCATCGCACGAACGGACGCGTTTGTACGATGTAGTCTCAGTTTCAAATGTGTTATCATACCAAGACAGCATAAGACTGGTGCTGCTGCTGTACCGTGCTGATCATGCACTGCTGGTGATAAGGGTTGTGCACTAGCGACCGTTGTCCCGTTGTCACTGTTTGCTAGTGATGTTTCATCATGGGAGGTCGATGATGATTGGGTGCTGGCATGGGGGTTTGATAACGATAAGGTTGGAAGGCGTGTGGAGGTCCATGTGACATGATGTTTAAACAAGTTTATACTTTGATACGTCTACAGTACATGTCGGTCTATAAACAAAGTTATTCATTGTCTTCTTTAGTATAGAAATTAAAATAACGACGACTTACGATTGACGTTGCGTGCTCCCTATCAAAAAGTGAACTATCCTTAGATATGTATTACAGCTTTGGAAAGTGAATTTCGCCGCACGAAACACAAATAAGCCATGATTTTGAAACTGGGCCACCGGTCTTAAAGTTAAGCTACTGTATGTCAAAGCAAATTTAAGCTATTCAACTTTCAAAAATGCTATGACTACGCTTGAAACCCTTTTAGACATACGTGGTGATTTAATAGCCGTGTACATTTTTTAATGTGCTTGACTGTGCTTGTTATAGAATGATATTGTCTTATATGGATATATGGAAGATGACGATGAAAAAATGTTATTTCTCGTAGGTGAATCTGGAAAAGCTATGGAACGGTAAATAATTGACAGAGTTTAAAGTAATAAGAATACAAAATGATAGAAATGATGAAATGCATATACAAATGGTAAAAGGGATATCATATATAAAAGAACGTTATATTAATCGGTATCCGCACCAGATATTTTTCTTTTTTTGGGCGACGGAATGCAGGGTGGTATCGTTGATGTTGGGATAGGATCGTCAATGGTTGGGATGAAAATGTTGTTGTCGGTATTGAGGCATTGTAGCGTTTCTTTTAACAAGATTTTACATTGCCAGACCAACGTAACCAAGGGAATGAAATTTTTAAAGAACGTTTCGGGAATGAGTGGGAATGGCATCGGACCCAAGGTATACACACGGCAGGCATTACCGGACGGAATGTCCATCAATTTCACCGTCAGCTCGGTACCTATTAATGGAAAAGGTCAGAGATCCATTCACGTCATGTTTATCGATATAAAACGTTATTACCATTGATGATGAAACCTGGAACACATAATTGTTGAGTATCCTTGGTCGCCATCTTCAACAAGTTCCATAAAACATCTTTCAAGGACTTCGGGAGTTTAATGCTTGCTTCGGTTATGTATTTTGTAGAGACAGCTCCACCACTGAGTCCTGCCTCCCCGACACCAAAGTCATCATACAGATGTTTGATCAAAATGTCGACCTTCGTCCCCGTTTTTTTTCTTGTTAGTGGTGTAGCGCCAGGAACTGACCGATCTTCATTCATTCTGTTGCTTGAAGAAACACTGACTTTTTCACCACTAAATATTACGTATCCATGTTGAAGCATTTACATTAGTATAATTATATGTGCATATTTGTTCACAAAAACATAAGGAAGACATACCTAATAACATAAAACTTGCTTTCGTCATAGCACTTCTCGATAAATCCCCACAACCGACGAACCAGATCGGCTTCCGTTTTGTTGTCAACATCATAGCTATAATAGTATAGATCCAAGATGTCTCCAATTGTCTTTTCAACCCAATGCAAATCAGCTTGAGATGGGTGGAAGCGATTTTGCATATGGATATCAATAAGCTTGTTGAGATCGTACTACAAAGACAATACCCGGGTAAAGTTAGTATACAATAAATAATAAAGAAGGAAGAAGGAAGACATACAACACCGGAGAACTTGTCCAAGTATTCTTTAAGTTCATTTGGCAATGGTTTGAGCTCGGGCTTGTGATACGTGCGTAGCTCTACCAATTCAGCAGGTGTGAAATGCGCTTTCCAACAAGGATCACTGATGTCTAAGATCAATGAAAGAGAAGAGCTACCATACAAACAGAGGTCAGTTTCCTTAATATAGCCTATGTGTATAATATACAGTCAATAAAAGGTGGTACCTACTGTTCATATAGACATTCCTTGGCAAACGCATGCATCGTGTCTTCTACGATCTTTCCGGTCGATAACTGCCATTTTGGATACTTGAGCTTGCTATTATACATCTCGTTGACATACTCCAATACTTTTGCAGACAATGGCGTTCCAGATAGCGTTTTGGATGCTGATGATGTCAAACTACTTGGTTCACCTTCTTTGTTGATACTGGCTTCTATTGCTTTCCAGTTGGCTTTTCCTTTCGCCTATACAAAAATGCGTTTATGTCAGTAAAAAAGCTTTTTTTTTCGCATCCTGTCTTTATCAATATAACTTATTACCGTTCTGACACCGAGTTTCTTGACGATACGTCCGAAAGAGTGTCTCCAAAATGCCTTGTAGTTACTTATCTTCGATGAATTTTCAGCAACAAACCCTTGTTTATCAGCTAGAAACCGAGCAAGACAAATGTCGCCGCCAGCATTATGTTGTTCCTTCACGTACTTCTCGATTTCTATAAAAGTCAAAAGAGGCATTACAGCGTTTGTGAAAAACTTAAAGCTTTTGAAAGGCAGTAGACATACCTTCTTGGCATTTTTTTTGACGTGTTTCAGGATCTGAGATTTCCGTTCCCAAGGCACCATGAGGTGGAGGAGCCTCATTATCCAAGCTTCCACTTTCCATAATCGTTGTTATGGAGATTTCTTTTTAGGTTGCTATGGAGATGAAAGATGTTGCTGGTGGCGGACTTAGATGACGACTACAGGCATCCACCCCAACTTACAAAAATTAAAGGGTGGTGGCTGAGGCGGGTGCATTCTCCCTTTTTTTCCGTTGACAACATTTGGTCTGTTTCTCAACAATTGTACGATGATGGTATATGACTTTTTACAAAGGTGGCAAGATGATGTTGTTTGTCGTTATGGATATACAGAAATATCTCCTCTTCATATCTACCATTACTACTACTGCCGTTGCAAAAACCCATTAATTTGCATCTTTCTTCATACAACAAATGTACAAGAGCGCCCTAAACAGTAGTGACAACGAAAAACACACGCATGCATGGATATTCTTGCGTTAGTTTGTTTTTAACCAACCACTCGGAATACACGTTGGCAGACTGGGGCAAGAAATATTTACCGTTTCAGCATGCCGAATCTCTACACACTGCTTTTGATCAAATGCCAATAGATACGGTGTGCATAGACCACATGTCTGGGCCTTATCTCCCATTTGCACACGAAGGACACTGTCTGATGACGATCCATACCACCACCATTATCGGGGTCATACACACACCGATTATAGCATAGTCGCTCGCCATTGGCTGCCAAAGAGAGTGCCTTGCCGCCGCCGTTGACGCCACCACCGTCCTTTTGTAAAATCCGCCTACGCATGGCTTGGCCCGAAATATCCACCAGCGCAAAATCCTCGTCACATTCCATCACCAGCCAATGTCGTTCCTGTTCAATAAAACAAGAAAATCCAGATACTCGTACAGACTGGACATCAATAGTCTTGGCAGAACGTCGTTTCCTCGGATTCCACAAATGCACAAGCATATCCGCCCGGTCTTGATATGCAATGTATTAATCAATGACATGGAACCCGCCCAAGACATTTTCAATCATACACGGCTGCTGATCCCGCATCATGCGGTTATTATTTCCGTCGAGTTTGTATAACAAAAGGACTTGGCGACGGTGGCTGGTAACAACAAGAAATGGTCCGCTATCGTGGTGATGGTTCGTTGCAAAAATTGCTAGTTTGAAGCAATCGATTTCGATGATACGTTCACGTGATGGGTATAGGGTGACGCCATGATGTGATCCAACAACTAATCGTCCGTCTGGCAATCGAACAGCAGCAGTCCATGACTGTATGGTTGACGATACGAGTGGCGCATCAGACAACAAGTGCGGTTGCTTTTGCTTCAGTTCCTTTTGTGCATCAGCAATGGCTTCAACCAGTTTTTGTGGTGCATCTAACTGGACTCGTTAAGTGATCCCATGCGGTGGATGCGCTAGCGTTACTATCGCTGGTGCCGTTGTATCATGATGATGTGGTGGAACGATGCAAACAACAATAGGAAATGGATTAGACAAGACGGGTGGCAATAAGACCAGCACCACATGATCCCACACGATGATATTACCCAATTGCTGCTGCTGCTGTTGTTGTTGTTGACTACTACTACTTGATGTTGCCGTCGACGACACAACGACACTTTGTGCCTTGCATCGATACATGATACGTCTCTCTGGCGCATCCAGCCACCAAGCATTGCCGACCCACTTTTCAATCTCCAAAGGCTCGTTATTCGTCTCCAGCTGTTGGTTGAGATTATCCAGACACAGTGACAAGACGAACCAGATCGGCTTCCGTTTTGTTGTCAACATCATAGCTATAATAGTATAGATCCAAGATGTCACCAATTGTCTTTTCAACCCAATGCAAATCAGCTTGAGATGGGTGGAAGCGATTTTGCATATGGATATCAATAAGCTTGTTGAGATCGTACTACAAAAACAATACCCGGGTAAAGTTAGTATACAATAAATAATAAATAAAAAAAAGAAGGAAGACATACAACACCGGAGAACTTGTCCAGGTATTCTTTTACTTCTTTTGGCAACGGCTTGAGCTCGGGCTTATGGTACGTGCGTAGCTCTACCATTTCAGCAGGTGTGAAATACGATTTCCAACAAGGATCACTGATGTCTAAGATCAATGAAAGAGAAAAGCTACCATACAAACAGAGGTCAGTTTCCTTAATATAGCCTATGTGTACAAAATACAGTCAATAAAAGGTGGTACCTACTGTTCATATAGACATTCCTTGGCAAACGCATGCATCGTGTCTTCTACGATCTTTCCGGTCGATAACTGCCATTTTGGATACTTGAGCTTGCTATTATACATCTCGTTGACATACTCCAATACTTTTGCAGACAATGGCGTTCCAGATAGCGTTTTGGATGCTGATGATGTCAAACTACTTGGTTCACCTTCTTTGTTGATACTGGCTTCTATTGCTTTCCAGTTGGCTCTTCCTTTCGCCTATACAAAAATGCGTTTATGTCAGTAAAAAAGCTTTTTTTTTCGCATCCTGTCTTTATCAATATAACTTATTACCGTTCTGACACCGAGTTTCTTGACGATACGTCCGAAAGAGTGTCTCCAAAATGCCTTGTAGTTACTTATTTTTGATGAATTTTCAGCGACAAACCCTTGTTTATCAGCTAGAAACCGAGCAAGACAAATGTCGCCGCCAGCATTATGTTGTTCCTTCACGTACTTCTCGATTTCTATTAAAGTCAAAAGAGGCATTATAGTTTTTAGTATCTTTTCTCAATTCTTTTTTTGTAAAAAAACTTTTTTTTATCAAAGCTTTTAAAAGGCAGTAGGCATACCTTCATGGCACTTGCTTCGATGTGTTTCAAGATCTGAACGTTCCATTTCCAAGGCTCCGTGAGGTGTCTCATTATCCAAGCTTCCAGTTGTAATTATTGCTGAAAGATGTTGCTAGAGAAAGTTTCATGGTTTTGATCTTGAAGGTATTTTACTACCGGGTTTAAAAGTTGGAGGATACTTCACTACCAAGTCAAAAGAGTTGAAGGTAGAGTTAGGCTAAGAAGCTGTGAAATTTAACAGTACGATAACAGTAACCGCTGCAGGGTCTGAGTGTTAAGCATTCTGTTAAAATTTAACATAACAGGGTGTTTAACAGCGACCGCTGCTGGTGCTCTAAAGTATGACAAGACCGGCCCGACCACATTTTCTGTGAGCCTGTTTGCTAAGCAGAGATAATTTACCAATGGCAGACCCAACATACCCATGCCTGCAACAATACAAACAGTGTCGTTATATGCGTACCAGGCTGATGAACCGTTTTTACGGTCGACATCGTAGCTTTCTTTGCCAATATCAAAACCTATGTCAATTTAACACGTACATTTAGTAATTGAATCAAGGGTAACGCATTTTTTAAAATGTCTATTCAAGTACCTATCATGCTTTCGAAAGTGGTACATACTGGAGGTAAAATCCGTCGTTACTTTTGCTCTTTTTTTCAGTATACTTGACATAAGGTATAAAGAGGAGAAAACAAGAGCTACAAAAAAATAGTTTTCCTATGCTATCGTTTCCGAACGCCTGCGTACATCCAAAGAGACCAATCAGCCTAAAATAGCAGCAGTAATATTAAAAGATCATTGACGACGACGGTAATGAAAGCACATATACACAACAGCAACAATGATCCCGTTGGAATGACAAATTAGATCGGAGGAACCATCTAATTAGCTTCAATTATATTATAAATAACTCTTTCTCACAAGATTGGGTTATTATCGGTTATAGATAAAGCGCACTGCGATGTGACCTCCGGTGGTTAAAGCACTATACATCTGAGATCCAGAAGAAGCAACAAGGTTACCTCGCGTCCTCATAAAATCATAGCACGTATAGAACGTTGTGAAGAAAACGGGTTGATACGAATATCAAAGCAACGAGCACACAAGCTGAGTGCGATAAATATCGAAGACTACGTTTTACAACTGGTGTACCTTATAAAAATGCAAATAGCGGTGCAGCTAGCTTTTCTCTTCGTATACTTCTATTACACATACAAAACGCATATATCATACCCATTCCTCCTCTGCTTAACATTCACGCAACAAAATAAAATAAAAGAAAGATATTACACATTTGGACATGACGACATTCGGTGTTACAGTCGTGAGAAAATAAATGCCGTCTCCAAACAGATAATCGTCCTAAACAGGAGGACGTCAATTTCTAAAGCGACCCATGTCGAACGAAAAGATCCATTTTCCATTGATGATATGGGTGTTTTTTTTCTGGAGAGCACATTAGCAGCATCATATCTGACGTTTTCGTTGTTATGCATATTCTTTTCAAGACTTATTAACAAGTCAAACGCGGCGCAATGGTCATGTTCTTGTTTTGCATTTGCCCAAGCGCTGAAGCTTTGGAAAAATTACTAGGTCTGAGCGAAGGTGGTACACGTTGATTTGGCTTTGAAACAACTATGCACATCAGAATAAAAGATAAGCGACCAGAGTGGGCTAGGTGCCGACCTCTGTTATTATTGTTTAGATTGTTGCTTGCTGTATAGCCCTTTGATTATCGGCGTAGCAGCTAGAAGATGATGTAGGTTGTATACATAAAGTTCAAAGAATTCCAATTATTCGAGTATTTCCGTATAAGAGAAAGGCATGGTATTTAATCGTTTCTTCGGCTACGAATCAGCAGGGTGACAGTCTGTTTTTCATGTACCCTGCCACATTCCTACGCTGCAAAAGTATTACCCACACTGACTCTCCAATTTTTCCACGGTCCTGTCGCTTTGAGAAACGCGCAGATTTTCTCACAGTCCATCGATAAATACAATTTTGGTATGTCGCGCCAAAATACTGGGGCAACAAGAGCACTGTTGCATCAGCACCTGTACTTGCAAAATGAAGGCAGGACAGACGTCTTTCCAAAATCGATAGTCAAATAAGAGGCTGATCATCACCAGCCTCAAGACGGAACTGGATAAGGAACGTGGATCGTGTCAATCGATGGTATAATGAAACAACTTTAAAAGAATATCTGCGCCTACTACAGGGCTCCAATCTGTACTATGCAGTCTACCAAAGTGAGAGAGAAGCACGCATTCTGTGGTTTACGAACGGTTATTGGAGCTGCTGCTGTTGTACTCGAAAGAAACATTTGCATGCTAGTAGTTGTAACAATACTTTACTGACACTTTGCCGCTACGAAACAGAATATGTATGATACTGTATATAAGCGGTAATACGTTGCCACCACCACAACCCCAATCATATAATAAATGACTCAGACTGCGTGCGCAGAAAGACTTTATTAACATCAATCCTACTGGACCTTTGATAAGCAAGTGATATATTTGTGAACAGGTTGCCTGCAGATTAATGTGCATTTTAAAGAAGGCTTTTACAACATGCTTATTTTATTAGAAGTATCTTGGATATTAGGCTCAAAGAAGAGTCATTTGAAAATTAATTAGGTTTAAGTTATATATTGGGAGAGAGAAGGTTTTCACATCAACATCTTGATAAGCGAGATGACGGTACCAAGCAATGTCAACAATGTTGTCTTGAGAAGTCCGGTGATTCCAGTATTTTCAAAAAATCCGTCGGCAGCTCCGTTGACAACATCCACAGCGATTGCAATCAAATCGTCTCGACTCGGGGCGGGTTGCTGCTCACCTTCCGCTGGCTGTTGGCCTTGCTGCTCATATTCGGGACTTGACGTCAATTTAACCATCTGGATTGCAACTGTGTTCATAAAGGGGACACTGCCGGACGGGCCCTTTGATTCAGCCCGGGAGCGCTGAATGGCGGTATCGAGAGCACGCAAGTAAGTTGCAAATTGGCGTCTTTCTGTTTCTGTTCCTCCAGGAGTACTGCCAGTAGTAGTGCCATGTTCAGAAGCAGCAGCGGCAGCAACATCTTGCTTTATTTTGTCAGCGCCTTCGGCAGTGACACCGGATGGATCGTTCGAGCCAGTGGGATGGGCTTGGACAGAGGCCGAGAACAGGAAACACAGGTGCAAAGCCAGGACCACCGTCAGAAATAGAGAGGAAAACTTGATTTGCATGGTTACAAAAGAGAAGTAATGTGGCTAGAAGATGGTAGATAAATGTAGTAGTTACCGGCCACCTTTATATATCTATTTCTCACTTTCTGTCGAGTCTCCGATTTCTACATGCTCGTACCTGAAAAGTATTTCTTCTCCTTGTATATATTACATATATCTCCTGCTTCTAGGCGGGCATCTGGATACCCCTTTCCCGGAATTGAGTAATGTTGTGTTTTCCAATTGATAGGCGCTTTAAAGAAGCATTTTCGCTTAGGAGAATCACGCATAGCTATGCATGAAGCAATTTTTCAGGAACCGCTGGAAAATGCTTATATTTAACATTGTTGGCGCTCTTGATATCGCGGTGTGTGCATAACATGGTTTCCACTACATAGGTCCAAAACTACATTTTTTCACGCTAATTGAAAGGAAAGCTCATGTAATACTATAAAGAGTGCGAGTATAATATCAATCGTCGTAATTTTCTGAAGGGTCGTGCACAATCAGTGCTCCTTAGGTGAGTTAAAAATAACTGTAATAGCTTCTACTTGTTCCTTGCTCTCAAGAGTCTTATATCTCGACCATTTACATGAATAAGCAAGGGGAATGACCCTTTATTCCCCGCTTCGGCATAGTAAGCAGTGTACGCCGGCGCAATTTTCTAGCAAGGGTACAAGGCTGTAAGAAGCTGCTCCGGCCATCCCTTTCCCCCTAGTGGCGAAAAATCATTCATTTGCTCAATATCTTATGTGATCGGATGTTTTTTTGTAGTAATGATTCGTGCTTTTCACTATAGTTATTCTATATAGGATAATAGTATATCTTATCGTTTCATATCGTACACAGAACCCCATAGAGCTTCTTTATGCTTTCAAGAGCTGCCATGGAAGTAGCATCTATGAATGCTGTCATTTCAATAAAAAGGCAAGGTCCTTCCAAATTGAGGCGTCCCATGTCTTCGCTCTGTACGTTATGTATGGAAAATAAGCTTTGCTGGAAGAAAGGGTGTGCATAACGGACTGTGCTGTATCCCACAGCTAGCCGCGCGCAACCCCTTTTTTCTATCTCCCCAAGTCTATATCCGTTGGCGACACCCCGCTATTCATGTACATGCAGAGAGAGGTAGATTTTTTATTATAGAGCTGGATGTATGTACCAAGTCACTCACACGTTGCTATAGTAACGAGCGACTACACTAAAGCCTCAAATACCACCAATAGTCGATGTATCAGACAGAGTATCTTCCCCGTATGTATACGGAGCGTCCTAATAGAAGTTTATCAAGTAAATCAATAGGATGTGAGGACAAACAACCAGCAAATCAGACAGAATTCTATAAGCAAAAACATTAACGTCAGTCATTAACCGCAACCAATATCCATGATTACCGATGATACGATAATAAGGAGATCTTCCTGTCAAACGTTAATAATATATAAATCCTCTTTCTCAATTAATTTGTTTGATACACATCATCTTTTGTGAACGTGTCGGCAATAGCTCGTTTGGTATAATACACTTGTAAAGTTTACTATTAATAATAAAGAAACCAATGCTAACGAAAAACGTAACAGTCATAGGTAAGAACGGAGTAATAAAGATACATACAGAAAGAGGGGATATATACGGTATTAAAATACACATAGCACAAAAAAAGAGAAACAAATAAAAGAACACGAATTGTCTAGTTTTGCTGGTGTTAGATATTGTATTGATAACCATCAGCAAAGGTATCGATCAAATCTTCAATGGCGGTCTTGGTACCAAAGATCAGACCAACGAGACCGACCAGAATGATTAAACAATTCCACGCCAACTCATAAATCTTCTTGTTACGGAACCCGGTAAGGCGCCAATAGAAAAGAACCGGGAAAATGAAGATGATTGCACAGTTGGCGAAAGCACCGAGTAAAGACATGAGCAAGTCAAAGAAAGGGATAAGAATGCCGATAGCACCGACGAACACCATGATAGCCGCACGTAGACATGTACGAATAAGAAATTCTTTTGTTTTTCCGAACCGTTCGACGGTAATGTTGAGCATATCTTCGACGTCTAATGCAAAGGATACAAGCAAGATAGGTGCAGAGACGACGGAATTGATGGTGATCAGGACGATGGCAACGATACGTGCGGGGCCGGGGGGAACACTGTTATAAACAGGACTGACAACATCGATGCCGTAAATGTAGTAGCCGCAAACTGCAATTGCGATATACATGACAGCGGCAAAGCTCAAGGCACCGGTCACAACAAAAGGCCAGCGCTTAGGGTTCTTCATCGAGCCTTCAATGTTTGGATAGACGACATTGGCGCCGAAACTGAACGACATGGTGGCGAGAGCGACGGGGAAACCATCCCAAATAACGTTATCTTTGTGGCTGTCGGTGTGATTAGGAGCATCGATACCGGCCAAGATAATTGTGATCAGCATCTATAATAAGTTGTGAAATAGGCACCTCGTAGTGATAAGCATCGTATTCATTGTCTGTGGGTTGCAGAGCACAAAAATGTATTTACCGTAGTCATAACAGCAACCAAACCCAAAAGACTGGTCCATGCAACGTTGTTCATTGATTTTGCAAAAATGTACGGAATGCCGATAACACCACACCAGATGATGGTCCATGCAAAAGTACCGAGTTCACCTGCTGTGCCTTCACACAGTTGATTCAAGTTGCTGGCTGCGAGTACTACGTACAGGACAGCTGTACCGATATAGATCCACGTTGTGAAAAAGAAGGAGACCCAGCCTCCAATTGAGCCAAATGATGTAGTGGCAATTTCTTTGAAAGACGCCAGTCGTCGGTTTTTGCCCTTGTACATACACGTTTGCATGATGACGCCTGTATACTACATGCCCAAAATACTACTAGTCAGTGACAACGTATCTAAATAGAAGCGTGTATAAATATGTTCTCTTACGATAGACATCCACCATGCTAGAATCAGCATGACGAGACCGGCCCAACCACCTTTTCTGAGGGCCTAGTTATGAATGAAAATTACGTAAATGAGAAATCGGGGTTCTCATTCTTTTTTGATTTCTTGTTCGTGCGCTCGACAAAAGATAATTTACCAATGGCAAACCCAACATGCCCGTGCCTGCAACAAGACAGACAATGCTGTAAAATGCGTACCAGGATGAAGAACCATTTGTCCGGTCAACATCGTAGCCCTCTTTGCCAAATTCAAAGTCTATGCAATGTTTACACGTCTAATATCAGTAACCAGATCAAGGACACTAACTTGACTCATGAGTTTTGTCTATTTCTATACCTATTATACTTTCGGAATGGGTACTGGCGACAAAATTCGTCGCTCCTTTTTCACTTTTCAGCATCTTTGACATACGGTATAGAAAGAAGGAAAAGGGCGAAGGAGGAGGAGAAATAGAAAAACAATGAGATATAATAAATAAAACGGAGAAAACAAGATCTTTTTAAAAAAAAAATTATCGAATCTGCGCCTGAATAAGGTTTCAGGCATATCAAGTATAGCAATAAATTGGTGAAGAAATACACTCTTTCTTCGCGCGCTACATTAGTATTTTCCATGCTGTCGTTCCCGAACGTCTGTGTAAACCCAAAGGGGCCAATCATCCTTGTCTTAATATAGCAGCAGCAGTAGTAAAAAAAATAAAGAACGACGATGGCAACATGAAAGCACAAATGCGCAACAATGATGTTAAAGGTGGAAGGTCGAATTAGCTCGGAGGATCCAACCATTTCGCTTCAAATCGTGTCATGCTCATCCTTTCTCTTTCCCACCAAATCAGACGACTATCAGTTATACAGAAGACGCAAAACGATGTGATTTGTGGTTGTAGTACTAATACTATGTGGGATCTAAAAGAGGCAACGGGGTTACTTCTCGTCCCCGAAAAATAACATAACACGTATAAAACTTTGTGGAGAAGTGGAGTTGAACCAACGAGCACGCAAGCTGAGTGCTGTCTATATCGGAGACAAGTTGAGTTGTTATTGACTTAATACCAATAGCGGTGCAGTTAGCTTTCTCTTGCCTATCACACATACCAAAACACATACACCACTTCCGTCCTCTGCTTGGTCTATAACATCGATGTCAGAAAAATGATGCATTACACGCTTGGACATCAAGATATACGGTGTTACAATCGTGAGAAAACTCTATATGCCATCTTTTAACCAGACCATGGCCCAAAACAGGGAGCCGACAATTTCTATTTACAGCGACCCGTGTCAAAATGTGATTTTTTCCACAAAAGGGTTAATCTTCTGTCATTTGAGTGTTTCTTATAGTGAGCACACAGTATATCTGACGTCTCCCTTGCTTTTGTATATCTTCTTCCTTTAAGAAATACTAGGCCATGTAATACGCATATGTCTAGCGCCGAAGACATGGCACTTTACCAGGTCCGAGCGAAGGTGTTACACATTGATTTGACTTTAAGACAGCGCTGCACATCAGAACGAAAAAAAATAGGTGCGGGCCAGGTGCCAGCCTCCATTTCGCGTTTTAAGGTTGTATAGCCCTGTTTTCAGAATATCGTCTTAGCAACTAGAAGACGCTGCCAATATATACAAAGTACAAAGCATTCCAGGTACTTGAGTATATCCACGCAACGTAAATTCGTAGCATCTCTTCATTTTTGTTTTGATGTCGGATCAGCGGGGCGACGGTGTTAGTTACCGTTCCTCGGATCTTTGTTTTCACACGCCCCGCCAATTTCTTGAACGAGCTACCCTGCAGAGTATCACCCAGGTAAACCTCCACGCTCCTGTCGTTTGATGAGCCCGCAACGTTTCTTAAATCTCATTGATGATGTATGGTATTGAAGTGTCGCGCCGAGATACTGGAGCATATGGGAAAGCAGGATAGACGTTTTCCCGAATTTCATGGTCAGATAAAAGACTGGGCAGATCATCACTAGGACTTCGATCGTGTCGGTCGACGAAACTTAGAACGAGTGGCTACGCCTATAAGAGGATACCCTTGTTTGTCCTATGGCAGCCCATGGGAGTGAGAGAGAGAAACACATGTTGGTGTTTTACGAACGGTGGTTGCAGCTGCTGCTGCCCTGGAAAGAAGTATCTTGCATTCTTAGTTGTTACATTCATTTTGCCACCGTGTGTAACGTACACAACCGCTCGATACATCTTATGATAACAGATCTTTTTCCCTCTCTTAGGAAAGAAAAGCACACACATGTTCCTTTATACATTCTTCCAATCCCGATCACGTAACTGTGACAAGAATCGACCAGTACTATAGCTGACGACAGTTGGTGTTTGGACAAAATCGACCGGCGCATGACCTTAGAAATGCACAAGCCGAAACTAGGATGGCGATAGTTGGTCGGACACTGCCACTCTTGGACTCTCTGCTCATAAAAGCGCTGGCTGAATCCTTTGTTTTACGCTTGTCCAGCGACATCTGCGGTCAACAAGGATAGATTACTTTGCTTTGCCAACAACATCCAACCATACAGTCATACAGACTTCCAGATAGTATATGCGCGCATCCATGATATTAATTATATTTATTTTTCATTTTCCTCATTATTTCCAGCTGCTGGTGCAATACTGCATTATATATGTGTAAACTTTTTTGAATGAATGCAATAACAAAGAGCAGAGTCATGATTTTTTTTTCGGTGGTATAACTATAGAGAATGTTGTAAATACCCCTACATCATAAGTGTAACCGTTCGCAAATACATCGATCAGGGCTTCAACGGCTGCCCAGGTACCAAAGATCATAACGACAAACCCATACATATGGAGACATCTTCATTTGGTCCGAACTTATTGAGAACTCTGGAACGCTTGGCGTCCAACAATGACAACAACGAGAGAACCTTGCCCATAGTGAAAAACTTACTTATGCCACTAAGGTACATATGATGACGAGTATCTCTTGTCGTAAATTCTCCATCCAAACAGCAAAATACATAAACCACAAAAACTCTTCGGAATGTAGATGTCGTTTAGCGTCAAACTCGATAATCAATACATTAAAAGAGAATACTTTTATTATACAGGCGTATCTTGCGAAGTACATGCTTTATACAGAATTTTATTTTGCTGCTACTATACTAACTAGGTACTATATATGTAACTACAAGAATCATGCAAAAAGAATGAAGAATAGTAAATGAATATACTACGTATGATACAGAAAACATCCATCAAAGCGAATCGTGAATCCAAGAGGTGATATCATCAGCTATGCATTTCATCGTATCTCTCCTCTATTCATATTGTTTAAACGTCTCTTATCTGCTTTTATGTAACATGACCTTACAGAAAAACGACGATATGCAGATTGCTCAACTTATTGTTATGATTCAAAGTGTGACCTTCAGCGCAGCTACAGCTGCTTGTGAACTTACTTTGCCTGTCTATATGCTCATTGGAATCGTTTAATAACGAAGAGCCGTATCTACCGCGCCAAATGAAGAAATTGCAAGGAAGACCATCAACAGTAACAGCTGAGCATACGACAGCTCTATAGAAATGTTGATGTTCCAACCAAAGCCATCAAAGAAGCACAAGGATCACTTTGGGACACGTTTGGTTTGACATTCACTCACATATGCACCTTGTACAAAAGTATGGGCTTGCGATGAAAAGGCCTACAAAACTAGAAGGCGCACTTATCCTGAAGCTATCACGAAGCGTGTGGACTGGGTACTGCATATCACCAACAACAATCCAGACTTTGATTTTGCAGCCTTACATGATATCAAAAGTATTTTAGGGCGGTCAGGACGAGGCGAGCCAGCAAAAGCACTACTGTAGCTCAAAACAACACGATCAAGGCGACACAAGAATGTGCGAGTGGTTCATAACGTCTATTCGTTGGCAAAAGGCCCACGATCTGGTTCTCCTAGCAAAACACACCAACTTGAAAAGTAAAATTCTGTGTGATGATTGAATCTGTTGCTTTCTTGCTAGGCGTCGGAGAGCGTCAACTGCAAGGTATAACCCGCTTGATGATTTAGCGCAACATGTACGTATCTTTGTTGCCATAAACTATAACATCTTATGGCTTGCTGGTGAGGGTGGGGGGGGGGCAACAACGTATGATGATAATGTGGCATAGTCGTCATACACAAAGGACGGGCCACATGTTAAATCAAACCACACGGATGTGCGTTATGATCAAATTTTGAGCATTCAAAGTCTCTTGACCAATTTCAAACTCATTAGTAAGTATAATAAACGAGATGCGATCCACAGGTTTAAAAACAATTTATGTTGTGGGAGGGAGGTAGTATCCTAATTGTTTTTTATGTTGTCTCTATCTAAGAATATGAGGAAATTTCCGTTGTTATTGTTGCAAATGGGGTCAAAAGAAAAAAGTAAAGAGGGGTGGGGAAGAGAAATGTACAGAAGATGTGTGTGTGTATCATATCTACTACAATTGAATACTAAATGCGATTCGTACTCGCTACTGCTTTACGAATTTTTACTGCTGCGCACAGTTCATACCGCTACCACCCCGTCCCTCATCATCGCTATCATCCTCGTCATACGCATTTCTTGACTGGCCAGATGCACCAAAGGATTCAAGGTCGCCCGAAATCAAGGCACATTCGTCAACAATGTCATAGGATGCGCTGGACACAGCATTGGGTTTTGGCTTGGGCAAGATATTGGCCATGGCAGCGACATTGTCTGGGGTGGCGAAATAATCTTGTGGAAATTCGACATCAAACTGGATATAGAGATCGCCGTGGTTGTCCGACCGTCTATAGATGGGCATACCCTCGTTGGGCACGCGCTTGACCATTCCTGGCTTGATCACCTGGCCTGCAGGATGCTGCACTTGGATACCTCGGCCATCCAAATGCTTGACCACCACTCTGTTGAATCCGCACAATGCTTCACTCAACGAAATCTTGATATGGCACAACAAGTCATCGCCGCGTCGTTCAAAGACATTGTGTTCCTTTTGTTGTAACACCAAGTTGACATCGCCTGGCTCCACTCCCGGCTATAGTTTCATCAAGTAGTAAAAGCAAATGTTTATCAGCGAGACTGTGGCCATACTAAGCTATAAAAGTTTTTTCAAGTCTTTACCTCTTGATCACCTTCGCCCTTCATGCAGATCTTTTGTCCATCAATCATACCCTTTTCGACGTAGATATCCAAAAACTTCTTTTCCGTCGTGACCTTCTTGCCACGGCACTTTTTGCATCTGTCCTTTGCAATCTTACCAGTGCTGTTACACTCTTCACAGGGCACTTGCATCTGTTGGACCATACCCATACCCATCTGTCGCATGGCCACGCCAAATCCACGACCATGACACGCGCCACATTTACGTGTAGCACCCGTCTTGCCACCCCGTCCACTGCATGTTGTACAAATCACATTTTTTTCCAACGCGAGCTTGGTCCGTTTGCCGTTATATAAGTCCTCCAATGATACTGCGAGTGGATATTTCATACTTTCGCCCTTGCGAGGACCGCGCTGTTGTGGCATGCCACCAAAGCCAGCGCCACCAAAGCTTGCTCCTCCCATGCCACCAAACAAGTTGGCAAACAAGTCGTCGGCAGACATACCGCCATAGTCACCACCACCACCACCAGGACCTCCTTCGCCAAATTGATCATAGTGGGCTCGTCGGTCAGGGTCGGACAAGACTTCGTATGCGTGTGAGATTTCTTTGAACTGGTTTGATTTAGCAGATATACCCTCAAAGCGTTAAAATAGGTGTGTGTGTGTGTATGTGATTGAATGATCATTAAGATCTTCTTTTTTTGTCTTACCCGTTCACCTTCGTCAGGGTTCTTGTCTGGATGGTATTTCATAGCCTAGATATACATATATCGTGAACCACAAAACGCATACATACACACATAACACACAAAAAAAAATATTAAAACAAGGCCAAGAATAAAGAAAATAAAGAAAAAGGACGGTTTTATTTACATACCAACTTTTTATATGCCTATACGAATTTCAATTTTTTACAGAGAAAAATATGCGTACATGACAGTTGTTTGTTGTTGTGGTAAGAACGTTTGGGAATAATGACAAGGACTCCATTCAAAAGCAGAGAGAAAAATAAGCGAATTTCGAGTTTTTTAACTATTTACCCTTCGGATCTCTTGATCGGACGCCGTGGTTTCGACATTGAGGGTTTCATAGTAAGCTGTTTCGATCGCCATGCTTCGTGTCGTGTTCGTCTCGTTATTATGCGTGGAAGAGAAAACGATACAGTAGCAATAAATGGAGAAAAAGCTATATAACGTAATGTATAATTATAATTGTGGGTGGGGTATTATGTTCCTTTTGAGTGGTTTGTGACTTAGATCGCCGGTTCCGGTTCTGGTTCCCGCTCCTGCTGATGCTGATGTTCCTGCTGCTGACGACGGTCCCGCGTTGTTGTCGGAACTGCTGCTGCTGCTGATGGTAACTTTGACGGTGGTGGTTGTGCCTTTTTGAGTTTGCCAAACAAATAATGGATTCTCGCCAACTCGGAATCTGAGGGTGATGGTGGTGGTGCGGAATGTGTAAGCTGCCGTGGTGGTGGAGAACTTGATATATCAAGTACATCACGGCGTTGCTGTTCTTGTTCTTGTTGTTGCATTTCTCGTTCTTTTCGTTGCTGCTCTACTTGTTCCTGTTGTCGCCTTTCCTGCTGCTCTAACTCGGCCAACTCCTTTTCCAATTCTTCTTCATCATCCGCGATATGTACACGACTCGCTTGATCCACGCCGCCCATAATGGCTTCTTCTACTTCCTTGTGGTCTTGGAACGCTTGTTGAACATTGAACAGCGCTTCATCCACAGCTTCGACTGATAAGTCTTGGTCCGACACCATATTCCGTAGTGCATCGGCGCCAATATTAAATGCTCGAACGATCTGTGTATATTTATATGTTATAACCCACACAGAACCGATGTCCATTCGTATAATCTGCCTTTATGTTGTGTGCATCCATGTCGCCAGCAAACTTGCTTACCTGCAGGTCATTTTGAGAAGCTTCAATCTTCATAAGCAACGTTTCCATCGTCTCCACCGACCGTAACCGACGATCGAGTATTTCCAACAAATGTTTCTTTTTTTTAAAAGCGTACATGGCCTGAGACTTGCGACCTTCGGCATAGTGTACTTTGGCTGACGCAGTGTATCTAGAAAGTTTTTGTTTTAGTTTCTAAAGACATTGAAGCACACAGTGGCTTCCCCTTTTCGCCTGAACTTTTGTAGCCACCTACTCTTCTGCTTTCTGTTGCAGTTCCTCGACTTGCGAATGTAATGCATCACATGTTGTTCTGATACTAATGATAGCGCGGTCTTGCTGATCGATAACCGCTGATGGCGTGCCTATTTGTGCTTTATATGGGAATTTGATGGCCTAAATAACAGATATATTGAGTAAGGTGGTGGTGGTGGATTACCAAATGACAAAATTGGGGTGTTATAGCTCAAATTATTTACCACATGGGATTTACCGTAACCTTGCACATCATCCGCGACAGCCACGCCCAGTTCTGAGCTCATGTACTGCAGCAATAACCAGATATCATCATCCGTCAGTGTCCGTTCACCATCCGTGCCATAACGAGCGCGAAAGTCGCTGAACGTCATCAGTGCACTCGACGAATTGGATGCTGGCTCATCGACATAGGATTGCAAGATCCCCTTTGCAATTTCTTTGACGGTGGGTAGGACTACATAATTATGCTTATCATGGTGATACGATGCTGGAAGCAGCCAGTATTGAGATTTCTGCATAATCCACGACAGCCATGATTGGGACGTTGTCGGTGGAATATATCGTTCATTGAACTCGCGTAACGTCATGATATCACCATCCTTGGTCATTTCTTTCTATTAATACATGATGTACGAGCACCAGAAAGGTACCAGTGACATGTTGTTTCAACATATTGTAAACGGAGAGTTTCCCCACCCCACCACCCCTTAACCACAATAACAAGATGCTTACCACAACACAATCTAATGCTAAAGGTTTACCCATTCCGGGCCGTACAAACAAATCCGCCAGCTCATGGGAATTAATCACCAAACGGTGATTGCTTGTGCCGAGCAGCCCTTGAATGTTGCAATCCAGAATCAATGAACGCCAATAGCTAATGTTGGCATCGTAACCATATGGATTCAAGAGGGCGAGTTTGGAGAAATCGGAATACAAGGACGTTAAGCGTTTTGTTGGGTGTGCAAGATCGAAATCGGTATATTGACTTGAGAGGTATTCTTGTAATCGTGAGTTTCGTTTTGATGCCATTTAGTTGAGGGGTTTATATATATTACATAAAAGGTGGAGAAAATCATATAGATTAGCTGTAGCGCGTATCCTTTTTTTTTCTGCTGCATATTCGCCGGGTCTTGAAAAGCCTACCCAAAAACAGATTATGCTGTTACCAGTAGAAGAACTAGCTCGGTTATAATGCACGTCCTGTTAGTAGGTTCATGCCCAAAGCTGTCAATACCGCAGAACGCTACATTACATTCTGGTGCATCAACAAGCGGTCGTGGGTCCTTTTCTTGAATTTTACTGGCACAAGTATACACATTATATTAAAAGGTCTAGACAGACTGTGTGTATGCTACATGATGACAATATTACCATATTCAACAAGTTGGATTCCCAGAGCTACAGCGCGCTTATATTCAACCACAACCACCAAACCTCCTTTGACACTATTACTACTTGCGCATAGAATAACATAGAAACCTGGATAGCAACAATGAAATTTTGTCAATCAATTCAACATCACAAGATGCAAAATTGCCGTCTTTATCCGCTCGACGTTATTGGACGACCTTACGAAAACTAATGGTTACGATCACAACGAGATAACACCTCTCTAATAAAGAAAAACTCAGTTGTCGGGCTGGTATCATAGTAGCATAAATTCACTTTTCAATCGATTGCATTACACGTACAAAGAAAACTTAAAATAGCCAATATGATACCAGTAATCCGGTGCTAACCTACAAAGTAGAGTACATAGTAACACGAGTATGTAGCAGAGGTAAGATGTCCCATGATAATGATAGCAAGAGCTTGCGGTGACAAGAGATCGGATTATATTAGCGCACGTGTACTTGGTGAGGCTATACCCCCTTGCTTCCCTTTCCACCCTTATTTTCCCTACTAACCCCCTTACTACAAATTTCTCCATAAATGGATCATTATTATCCAAGCAAACAATGTTTCTTGCACAAAGTTTATATACTCGGTGAGACACGCATCTATACACCATCAATAGATTAATATCATGCTGTATAATATAAAAAGGCGCCAGAGTGCGTGCTCGTAATAGACTCCGTCTCTCTCTCTCTCTGTCACCCATTTAACTTTGTTTTGGTCGTCGTCGTCTTTAACTTTTTTTTTCGCTCTCGATATATACTACACATATATAAAGTAACCAACCTTCCGGTTCTCCCTGTCCCCACCTATTGAAGTTGGTATCACTACTACTACTTATTATGAAGGCTCTACCAGCAGCGTTATTCAGCTGTACAGTCTGGCTTGCTGCCATTACATCCGCTTTCCCTACCAACCAAAAGAAACCGGATTGCAAGAATTACAATACGGATTTCCGTGTCTCGACTGAAGGATGGTCTGCCGAGAACACGGTCCAAGACACGTATGATATCACTGACGGTGGCATCAAAATGAACTTGATGCCTCCTCGACAGTATGTTCGTATGCATGATGCCCAGAGTGCGTTTCATTGTTTGTTATGGCATTTGTTTGATACCTAAAACAAAAAAGACTCAAAAAAAACGATTCTTTTTCTTTTTAGATTTGCCATACAACAAGTATGAAGGAAGAGGTCCAACGTTTAATGCATCGTCCTATATGCATTATGGGCGCGTTTCAGCCACTGTGAAATCAGCAAACGTAGGGGGTGCCATTACAGCTGTCATTTTGATCGGCGATGGTGGCGATGAAATTGATTTTGAATTGCTAGGAGGTATGTGTGTGGTTTTTTTAATACTTGCCACTTTAAGGATTCGTATTCACCGCTTCACTTGATCTGTTTTTTTATGATATGATATGTTGTTACAGGCGATCCAAACCACGCTCAGTAAGTGTGTCTCTTGATCTTGCATTGCAAAAACGCGTCTAGACGACCAAGAGCAATAAACTCACATTACCTGTTGTTGCTGTGTGATTTTATAATTTTCCAGGAGCAACTACTTTTGGGGCCATGAAGTGCTGTATACGGTCAATGGCGGCTATCATGAAGTTGCCGGCGGGCCGGTATTTGATGAATATCATACATACACAATTGACTGGTATGCTGCTCTAAAGAGTGTTTAGTGGGGGGTGGTGAGAGGGAAGATCCGAAGATAGAGTGAGAAAGCTAACTCCCATGTTATGCAGGACTCCCGACCGTATCGATTGGTATATTGATGGCACGCTTGTACGCACCAAGGAAAAGAAGGATACGTGCGATGGAGCTGGCGTATGCAAATTCCCATCTGAACCAGCGTAAGTTACCTCATTCTCTATCAATAACACCCCTCCTACAGCGTATAGGCGCTAGATGCACTTGAAAACTGATGCTATAAAAACTGTATGTTAGTCGTATCCAAATTGGTTTGTGGGATGGCAGCATTGAATCCGGCACTGCTCAATGGTCCCGTGGTCCGATTGCGGTAAGTGTTTGTTTTTCTCTTATGAGGGAAGGAAAAAAGAAACCTTTGTTTTTTTGACTCACGTAAAAAACCCATGATATGTATACATACAGTGGGAGCAACACGATGTTATTTCCGCATACATTCAAAAGATTGAGAGTGTATGCAATCCGGAATACAACAACGTTGTCGCTTGACTTGCGGCGCCAGCAGCTTTGGAGCCATTATCGTCAAAGGAGGAATATAAGCCAGCCACGAGAGGTGCCCCAAGGCCCTGGCAAAGATCATCTGTCAATAACCCAGCCCAACAAATGCAATCCACACATCCAGAAACTCCTCTTTCGCTGTCAGTGTCATCCCAAGCATCATCTTCCTCTTCCTTTTCCATCACTCGTAAAATAGTATCATCATCATCATCATCATCCACAACGTTGTTACTACTAGCTGGTTTACTAGTAATGATGTCTTTTGTTTCTCTCTCCCCATTGATATAACTCTATACTCTTGTGATATATAATACATACATGATAATCCTTATTGTAATCAAGCCATTTATTGTTGCTCTGGCTGCTATTTAGCTACATACCGTTCATAGCCAAAGTACATCCATCGGAAATTTTTATATCGTCATCCGTTCAAGTCAGATAAAACAGAAATGGGGCATAAAAGGACCCTACTTCATGGCTGCCCTCCTTCCCCTTTTTGCTCTACCGTACCTTCCATCTATACCTATAAGGATAAAGACACACACACACACACACACACACAAAAGCAGTATCTTTTCTGCTCTTCTATTCAATCCATGGATCAACATTACGAACCTGTTGCTGGGCGTTTCAGCTTGATTAATCGCAAACGTGCTAACCAAATCCAGCCATCTGCTGCCATCAAAATAAACAACAGCAACAACACGCTTATTGCCACTGACTTTGTTCCTCCGAAACAAGAACAACAACAACAGGCCGGTTTTTTTCCTGTGGAGACTTATCACACTGTACCCAACTTGCGGTCACTGGCCGATCGCGCCTTACCATCATTACCGTCGTCGGCCCAAGATGTTACTACAGCAACAACTAGTAGTACCACTACTACTACTACTAGTACTGCCAACAATTCTACGCACACAACACCCAGAAGCAGCAACAAGAACGACGACGACGACGACATAAAGGTTACTGGTATACGACAACAACAGGAACGATTGAACCACCCCATTCACACACGGCTTCAAAGAGCAGTGACCTGGCTTGGGACACCATTGCATAAACTGCTCAGTACTTCCATTGAACTGCCGTTAATGTACAATGTCAACCATGGCCATTTGCAACAACAGCAACAACAAGCAAATAGCAGCAAACGATCGCTTTTTAATGACACAAATGAGAAAATCTATTGCAAAGGTAAAAAGAAAGGCACGCTGGTGGTATATATATGCTATGTCTGAAAGAGACATATTCGCAGCAATAACGTGAAATCTAATGCGTTATATGCAACTGTAGTGCATCAAATTGTCAACTATGCATCCCCTCGAGGTAAAACACCCATTTTTCTTTTAGCGCGCTGCTACGTATACACTCGAGTTGTCTGGATATAGCGCGTCATTACACATTGCAGAAAAGAAGGAACCTTTCTAAACGTTTAAAATATCGTAGAATACGAGTACCATCTGCATTTGCAGTTGAACGGCGATATAATCGAAACCGTTCCGGGAATTATGCAAAAGATACCTGCAGGGTCCGCTCGTGGATACCCCGACCGCAACATCCCATTGTAAGAGTACCATTAGCAGTTTTACAAAAAAAATTCGGGGAACCTAATATTATACATATAGAAACGTAAATGGATCCTTTGATTTGACCTTTATCTTAACGGCCCAGCCTCTGAACACGCTCACCTCGACGCTGACACGAGTGAAGCACCGACTCAAAAACAGCAGCCGACGCAGCAATCCACCCTCATTACGAAACCACGATGGAACACCTCATTACCATCATCAAAAAAAGGTCACCATGCCCGTCATTGGAGTGAAACAAATAGTTTCTGGCAGCTGTCTACGCGCGTTTGTCGGACAAGGACCTTTACGTTATACATTGACACAACCCTTGTGCAACAATGACAAGGATCGCTTCAACTTGGAACTCACAGTGTCGTTCCATTTTTTTGACAATGAAGCTACTCCATCGCTCGAAACGACTTACTCGAGCAGCGGTCAAGGAGCGTGTAGTAGCCACAAGGTTGGGTCTGATACGAGCAGACTCGTATTGGACTATTGCCAGCAGGGCGATTGTCTGACCGTCTATGTTCGTGGTCAAGGTTATCCGGTAAAATTTTATCCCACATGCTTTCCTGTGTATAAAAGAATGGACATCTAACAAGTTATATATATATACAATAATTATAGACATGGCGACGGTACCTGGTAAAATTTGAAGCACATACACTGTTGTTTCTGGATGAATCATACAAGGTAAGCCAGTTTAGAAGATCCAAAGGATTCGGTCATGTTAGGATGGCCGGGATGATTCTTTTTGTGAGAGACAAGAAACTTAACTAGGAGTAAAAAAAACCCTTCCTCTTTTGCATTTCAACAGATCGTTGGAAGCATTCCATTAAAGCCACTGCGATCCGTCACACACGCTTCTGAAAATGACCAAGAATCAGTTCGCATGTCAGGCGCCACGGGACTTGTGTTGAAATTCGACAGAACATGTGCCAAAATCATGGAACCTGCTCGCCTTGAAGACAATGAAGTACTCGAAGGCAAGGTTTATCTCTTTGCAGATACTGCGGCTAGCGCGCAATACTGGAAGCAGTTATTTGATGCTTATGCCGATCAGCAGCAACTAGAGAAAACTTGCGATAACAATGATGACGACAGGATAAATTTACGGTTCATGTGGTAACCAAGAAAAAAAAATTAAGAAATTATAATATTATATGACATCACCAGGAGGGAGGTAGAGGGGTACCTTCAGAAAGAGAGAGAGAGAAATGCGTATGAAGTCTTCTCTATTTTTGAATATGTGTTGTATGTATTTGAGAGTCGAATGGATGGATGGATGGATTATTAAATTTGGACGAGTGAGAGAAAATGGGGGAAGGAGAGATGTAGCGGTCGATAAGGTATACACGATAAAGTAAAATTACATATAAGAGAGAGAGAGAGAGAGAGAGTGTGTGTGTTTAAAGGCTGTATTCAAAATCGTCACCAAAACGATCGATCAGATCTTCAATGGCAGTCCAAGTACCAAAGATAAGACCGACGAGACCGACGAGGATGATCAGACCGTGCCATGCCAAGATATAGAACTTCTTGTTGCGGAAACCGGTCAAGCGCCAGTAAAATAAGACGGGGAAGACAAGAATGATGAGGCAATTGGCAAAGGCGCCAATCAAGGACATTAACAAGTCAAAGAATGGGATCACGATACCAACGACACCGATAAAGACCATGATGGCCGTGCGCAGACAAAGCCGAATGATAAATTCCTTCTTTTTGCCGAGACGTTCGACCGTGACGTTGAGCATGTCTTCGACGTCGAGGGCAAAAGAGACGAGCAAGATGGGGGCAGAGACAAGAATGTTGAATGTGATAAAGACGATGGCAACAGTACGTGCGGCGCCTGGGGGAACACTGTTGTAGACCGGGTTGACGACCTCATTACCGTAGATATAGTAGCCACAGACAGCAATAGCAATGTACATGACGGCGCAAGTAGCCAGACCGGTAACGACTGCAAGAGGCCATCGCTTGGGGTTCTTCATGGCGGCCTCCATGTTGGGGTATGCGACACTACCGCCGAAACTGAACGAAATAGTAGCAAGAGCGATGGGGAAACCATCCCAGATGACATTGTCTTTGTGGCTATCGACATGGTTGGGAGCATCAATACCGGCCAAAACCATTGTAATGATGATCTATCATTGTATCATAAATTTTTAGTGTTGCGTGATATATAATATTGAACAAAAAAAAAAGGACATGACTACTTACGGTGCCAAAGATGGCAATGATACCGACAAAACTGGTCCATGCGACGTTGTTCATTGACTTTAAAAAGATGTATGGGATACCAATCACACCGCAGAAAATGATGGTCCATGGGATGGTACCGATTTCACCAGCTGTGCCTTCACAGAGTTGGTTGATATTGGCGGCCGAAAGCACCGTATAGAGAAGCGGTGTGCCGATATAGATCCAGGTAGAGAAGAAGAAGGAGATCCAGCCTCCAATGGCACCGAACGCCTCGGTTGCAACTTCCTTGTAAGACGCCAATCGTCTGTGTTTGCCTTTGTACATGCACGTTTGCAAAATAACGGCAGTATACTAAAATCATTCCCCTCAAAAAAAAGTTAGTTCTTTTTGCTAGGATTCCAATTGGACACAAGAGGAAAAGTAAAATAAACGCTTACACTTGACATCCACCATGCTAGTAAGAGCATGACGAGACCGGCCCAACCACCTTGACTCAGAGCCTAAAGGATAGTATGAATTGAGAGATATTTAGCAGAAGAAAGAGGAAAAGGATTTTGGACATTATCGCGGGCAAGTGTAACAAAGCACAGCAGCCGTCGCGCACAAAAAGTTATATATACCCGTGAAAGGCCCAACAAGCCCGTGCCAGCGACAATACAAACAACGTTGTAATATGCGTACATGGTGCTGCCACCCTTTGAACGATCCACGTCGTAGCCCTCTTTGGCGAATTCAAAGTCTATCAAGTAAAAAACGGTAATGATCAGTATTGCGCTTGGGCTTACTAGCAATATATGTTTGTTTTTTCTTGTTACGTATGATATATACCTGCTTCATATGCGGCACTCGAAGAATCGGGTATATACCCTACATCGGTCTTTTCATCTTTTGTAAAGGACATTAATATATGTGTATGTTATCGTGTAGTAATAATTGGTATTAGAAGAAGAGGAAAAGGTGGAACTATATAAAAGACAAAAAAAAAGCCGTTGCTCGGTATATATATATGCGACCCTCTTCCCTGTGTCCGATATGGTATAGAGTTTCAAAGCTATCATTTGTAGAACCAATGTAAAAGCGTGTCGATTTCCATGATTTCCGTTCAACAACAACCATCTCTTGGATTATACCGCGATCCTTCCTAAAAAGGCAACGATAGAGGTAATTGGGATCATATGCTCACTTTTATTTTCCTTGACAATGGGTCTTATAAAAATAACGAAGCCCCGCTCCCCATCAAATCGGTTATTTCCCATAAACCATCGGTTTTCTTCTCACGAGTTTGCCCGGCCTCGGGGTTTCCAGAGACGTCAGGCAAGAAAAAGGAACTGTGTCAGTTTCTAACACCACTGGCAACATGGTTTTGATAGGAACTGCAACAAGCAGTAGCATTAGTATTAGCAGTAGTAGTAGTAGTAGTAGTAGTGGTGGTGGTGGTGGTGTGTGTGTGTGTCAAAATAGTCCATTTACCCGGGAGAGAAACCATAGAGCGGAGAGAATTGAGAGATCAACCATTACTGTAACAGTTTGCTGAGAAGTCGGAGACAGTAAATTGGTCAAACGATTTACGTTTTGCCCTTGGCGACCTTTTTCCCTGAAACTAAACTAATAGCATGAAAGGCAGCACACCAAGGCTTCTTTGATTTATCTTACTTCTTCAATCAACCAACTAGGTTCAGACCGAATGGTGCTACTCTCGTGAGAAAACCCTATTTGCCTTGGAACCACAGATCTTATCTTTTTCTGCTTTGGTCCCCACATATTCTGTGACCCTGGAAAAGAAATATTCTGCGGGTCGAAAAGAGCATTTAGGCTTCAGGGCGGTTAAACCAATCGCGTTACCTGAAACGGAATTACTCACACCCAATCTATGGCAGGGCGAGGCACACTATTCGCGGAGCGGGGTATGACAAGTTGGGAGCCACCATCTTACTTTGGTTCGTTATCTCTGGGTTCAAGTTTTTTACGATAACGATAAAAGGCCTCTTTGAGTTTTGGAAACATTGACACGTAATACGACAGCCTGCTGGATATCGTAAAGCTGTTGCGCGCGCTTTTACCAACCAACATACGGGACTTCAGTCGTTGTGGACTGACATTTTATTTTCCTGCAAATACACAATCTAATAATAATAGGGTATAAATCATCCGATGAAAGGGAACTCGTCATCCCTTCTCTGTGGAGTCAGTCGCACATTAATTTGACGGGGACAGATCTAATATCATCATGGCGTTTCATTTCTTCTTTTTACCACGTCTGTTACATTTTGTTTTCTGGATTGTACTTGGTCATCATGGTTGTGTGGTTAGCCACAGCCACACTCTATTATCATATCACAACAGGCTAGCTAGCAATGATGAAGAGAAAACATGTCTACTTTTCTTTTGTTCCCACGAAAAAACCTGTGCATTTTTATTTTTTACCACGGGCCCGTTGTCTTGACATTTTATCAACATGTCTTGGACTCTCTCTTTTGTCCAACATTCATTAATTCCCAGGTTCCCATTAACAGCCAAACTTGCCTAAAACAGCTTTCCTGGGGCACATGACATTTGTAAACACATCTTTGAATGGTCTATAAATTGTACCACATCAATATCCGGCTGCCATCATTATAATCATTTCTCGGCCAACTCACATGTTTTATATTAACAGGAGACGTATTACGTTGTTTTATCAAGTGCTTGTTCTTCTGGGCACTGCTGCCATCACTAGTAGTAGATATCATACTACCTCCCTGATTAGTTACAACTACAAAGGGTACTTAGCAGCATGTCTATTGAGAACATTTCATTGAAGAAGGGTTCTATATACTGCAAGAAAGAACAAAACTGCAAGTACCTTTACGTAAGTTATAAAATATACACGTGCAATATGTTGGGTTTGCCTAGTTTGTGCTCTGTGAGAAACATCCCGCTTGCTGTATTTCCACAAACAGTATCGCAAACCGAAACTCTAAAGCTCGCTCTATCCAAAGCACAGGCTTTGTTGTGTGGCTTGATAATTATAAAAAGTCCATTCTAGTATCATGATATGAGACTGTGATATGTTGTTACTAATCGTCATTGTCAATTCAGAATTATCAAAGGTGGTACGATAATTAGGATATCCAGCATTTATGTCAAAGGGGTCTACGGCACTGTCTACAATGTTGTAGGATCGAATAGAATTAAGGGCGAGGGGAGAGATCTTGTTCTCTTTTTTTTCGTAAATGCACTGGAAAAAGCAAACAGCACCGGGAGAAGGACAAGAAGAGTCGGATGTGATGAGGAAGAGAGTAGGGTACGGCTTGTATATAGTAGCACGGATTCTTTTGTTATTGCTGTTGTTATCATCGGTTCAACGGCTGGTACTCATAACGTAGCATCTTTCAAATCGTCCCACGTATACATGATCGCGTGTGACCTAGTATCCAGTATCTTTTTTTTTCTTGACACTCTATCGGCCCATGATGACCCTTTTCAAGGATATCTGCAGCTGATGGAACTCGCTTCAGGCTGGACCAGTTCATAGTTCATATTATATAATACAGCATCGCTAAAAAAACATGCGCTGTTTTTCATATTCCACTACCTCGTACCACTTTGTTATTTATCTACCATACAATTCTGAGATAAAGTGGCTTCAAGAACCAGATGGCTCTACTCATAAATCTGAGGACATCAATGGTCATATTGTTTTCTGTACAATAGTAGATACATTTCATTTCTATTCAAGATATAGCGAATGCAGTGGTTATTACGTAGAGTAATAAGTATCACGCAACATTGTTTGTAAAAAGTACATCAGACCCAACACAGGCTTAATCCTCTCTTTTATTTTGAAAGAAATCTCTTGTGAATGGAGCCCTCTAAAGTGACTCAAACAAACGAATACTGTACAACAACAATCTAACTTCTAGCATTCAAAATTATAAATAAAATGAAAGCTTTTACAATATAATGTTTATACTGTATTGCATTGTAAATGTTACTCAAATTGTTTTTTTTTTCGTGTATCATATGGCATGCATTCCTTTATATATATTTGCTACCGATATCCAACTTGACATCATCTTTCAGAATACACCAAATAAACTATAAATTTCGTTGATGATGTGTGTGGAGATAACAACCGTTTATATGTGTGCTTTGTAGATAATCTCTGATTTGCACCTATTATATATGTACTGACGACACTGGCTAGTATGCACATCCAATATCAGGTTGTTCCCTGGTAACACACCGTCTAATGGCTGTTACCCTCTCGTTACTCGTGGAGACCAGTCCGGAGCATTACCCAAATTGGGAAATGAAGATTACCGCGTAGTAGACTTGAGCAATTATATAATTTGTATACGCGGAAGAAGAAGTAATGCAATTGAGAAATAAAAAATGGGACTGGGACTATTACTCAGCGTCACTTTCTCAACAACGACGACGACGACGACAAATTTAAAAGAATGTAATTCGTAAAAATTCAAACAGATTGCGACTTTTAATACATAAAATATGATAAGCTATGCAACAAACAGAACGATCCAGATGAGAAAAAAGGCGAGATTTGAAAGTACAAGAGATATCAGTACTCCTATTACACCCGCACCATGGACCTTCCTTGTCGGGGAGCTTGATACAAATGGCTGGTGGTCTAACTGTAAAACGATCATGGATTTTAGAAAATGAGCAAAAAACGTACGTTGGTCTTGGGACATGGCCAACCGGATATGTAGTGTTTATCGGCACCAGGGTATTACATTGATGGTCGCGCACACAGTCGCTCGATCTATTATTTTTTTCAATGAACAATATACTGAGGTCCTTGTACAGCATTTGGCACAATTCTCAAAACACACACACACCTGTGAAAAGCGCGTACATTACCATTTTGTGTCACGCACACGTCAAATTATAACACAGCACCAAAGCGCAAGCTATGTAGCCTATTTTGCCCCTATCCGTGCCTTACTTATTAGTATCCAGAAGAAGGCATTCGCTTTTCGACTACAACCAGCCCGCTTTCTGGGCCCTTGTACTTCTTTTACGGCCATACTTGGTCAAAAATGGTCTTACTTAAGCTATACCTTAGTGCTACCTTTGCTGAAAGAAAGACCGATTTCCTGCAATGGCCAACAAGGCAAACGGCGAGTTGCCTCCCTGGACTGAGTATCTACCGCGGGGAACGTATTCCTCAGCAACACAGAAGCGAGGTTGCAGTAGCGTAATACCGACATTTCTATCCAAATTTTACCGTTTTGGGAGCACGGATGTTGTCTCTGCAGCTATCCTTATATGTACCTACAGCGGCTATAAAGTTCTCAAATCTTAGACTTAAAAAATACACAGTAGTGGCCAGCTGTAGTTGTAGCATACTCATAATTGTGTGAGCCATTTCCTTTGTTTTGATAATATACATACTGTAATCTTAAGCAAGGTGTCCCCACTTACTAGGCTCCTCTTACGACTCCTCAGTCTAGCCGTTCACGACCATCATACATATTATACGCATCCTACTATTCACGGTGTCTAATACATGCGTTAAGACAAGATACAGCATTTCGCAATGCCTGTGTGTCGTTGGCCGAAAAGGTTCCTCTCTGAGAGAACATATGGTTCTTGAAAAACTAAGGTGTAACTTTAATAAATTTTGAATGCGTATGGACTATGTTTCGTACCGTCTGATTTCGTCACGCATTTGGATTAATGTACATTGCTGGAGGCCAAAGTAGAATAAATAAAAACCTTTTTCATCTAGCAATATCGTAACATTGCCGATTGTACTTTATAAGGTCTGCATTGATATTTATGCATTTGCTTTTGAGTTCAGTGAATGACGGGTTCCATAAAGAGCCAACCGAGACAATCATTAGTAGAAACAATTAGTGTTATTTATTATTGTTCTTCATTCAATAATAAAATCCATTAATTCAGCCTCTTTAATGATTGGATCCAAAACATTTACATTATAGATGACAATACACAACCCAACCGATTTCCAACTTTCTCCGTGATAATTCTGTCTAACCACAGGCATGCCTATGGCACGCGCGGTATTGCAATGCTGCTGCAAACCAATTCTAATTCCCGAGAGAATGGCGTGTTCTTGAAAACAGTCGTCGTCGCCGACCAACGACAAATATACATGCCGAGTTGTTGTTGATTCTGATACAATGCTGTGTGTCACTTTTAACCCGCAGGCATGAACAGGAAAGGCGGGCGATCCGAAATGGGCTTGAAGGATATCGGCCGTAGCAGCAAATGCCAGTGATGAGCTGTTATTATTACTTGTACGGTCGTCATATGCGGCGTCTATATTATCAGCATTGTTTTAGTATTTGTTTTGTTTTGGTGAATGCTCTATAGAAATAATGAAGAATGGGGGATGATGCATGGATCACTAACCTTGGTCTGATGATCCATGCCAATTTTGTAATATGCTTGTGAACTTTATAGGAATGTATGAACAGTCGTAGAGGTATATGCGTGCCCCCTCGACGCTGTAGCCACTGCTTGCTAATAGGGCTGCTGATGATGCGATTCCAACAGTATCGTCGTGTTGGCCCCACGGTTGAGCAAGATGTTTACCGTGAATACCAGCCCAGGATGGTAGCCTATCTAAATTTTTCAGATGGTCCTCTTCTTCTTCTAATTGCGGTGTTATTAACCATGATTCAGACGGAAAAATGTTCTTGGAAAGAGGTGCACCAAAGCATAGTATAGTAGGATCATTTTGGGCTAACAGTTCATAGAACTGCAGGATCAGTTCCAAAAGTGGCTGATTGTAGTCAAAGCGAATAATGGCATTAGAAGAGCTGGTGATGGTGTCGCGACTTGACATTTTCGCAAGTGCGAATATTTTGTCATGAGGTCTGGTGCTGGATCTGGCGTGCGCGTGACACAAGATGGTACCCGCATTCCAAAGTCGTTGTTGCTGGGATTTATCGCAAATACTGCGCAAGAACATTAATGTGGTGTCTCTTTTGTAGGTGGATGATTGAGCAATTGTATGCGACCACAAGTGAACGTTGGTGCCGATGAACAATATCTGGTTGGCCATGTACGCTTCTTCCAATGTCCACATCCGGTTTGCCCATTCCGAATTTATAATCGCTGATAGATTGGCCCGTCCGTCACAAGTATGCAGTTCCGGTACAAGTGCCACGGTACAATAGGAGTGTCGATAGATCAGGTCCATGTGTTGCATTTCGCGTCTCTTTTCGTTTGGATCGTTCTGGTCGATGCATAATTGATCATACCAGATGTAATCAATGTCGCAATCCACACACAATTGTTGGATGAGCTGTACAAAGCTCACATATCTCGCTTTCAATACCACTCGTTGCTGGCGTTCCCGTTGTTGAATGTGTTGATGATACCCAATGTAGTCTTCTTCTTCCTCCTCGTGTACTGATTCTTCCTCTTCGTATATAATCTTGTGATTGCCAAGATCGTCCCGGTGGTATTCGCTCCCAATTTTAGTTATGGTGCCTGACTGGTTCCACGAGTATGACAGGGTATAGTATGGACCATTGACTGTATAGCCGGGAACAATGTTCATATCCGACGTACGTACAAGCCAAGTGGGTCTGAAACTGCTCGTGTGCATATTACCGTTTTGTAGTGTTGTATCATCGAGAGACATTGAATCAGACTGATCATCATCATCATCCTCGGCATTATCATGGCATTGTTGCTGGGTAGATGGTTCTGTATTTTCGTCTGTAATTTCCCATCGGTACGGTCGATCGTACGTTATATACATTTCCTAGTACACCGATAAATGGTTGCTGTTTTTGAGCATCTCTACTGTATCCTATTGTCATTACTTGGCTAGGAAGATCACCATCGTACTACCTTGAAATTGAGTTTTTTTTAGTATGTAAGCAAAGAGAGCAAGAAACGTCAAGAGACTATCAAGTGTCTGTGTAAGATAATAGTCGGTCAAAGTATTTGCTTTTGCTTTTATATAAAAGCAGAGTGGGGGGGGGGGGAGTAGTTGGAAGAAAGAGAAAGAAAAAAGGCAATTAAGCCAAGAGAGATTAACTTTATGTACGTAAATGCATGTACGGATGGTAGCACAAAAAGAGGGTAGTTAACCACCTGAGCGCTGTATCCGAGCACAAGGAACCATAAACTAAGCAAACACGCCGACCACTCTTTGCTACACAGTAAAAAAAAACCATCCGTTCCGCCCAGAATTTTTAAATCAAACAACAGGGCAACGAGACGGTGCCTTCTCTCTCTCCTTTAGAAAGCTACCTTATATACAGTACATCTTTTTCTTTCTTAGGCATAATAATGATAGAGAGGTCACGGAAGTTACTCTTTATGATTGGGAAAGACCGCGTGGGCTTTCCATACTCGAATATCCATTCAATATGGAAGCTTGCTGCTGCTGTTACTACTACTAACACATACAGAATAATATAAAATATATAGTGTATACGTTTCCATTGTAAGCTGGGAAATCCCGTGTCCCTTGATCCCCGCTCAGAAAGGGTCACACGCACATGATGCATTTTTGGGCTCGAAAAAGAAACAAATATCGGTTGCTGTTTTTATAAAAGATAATTAAAGGTTTCATTTAAGAACAAACTCACCGGGCGGGGTGATGTTCTACCGGTGATATATAGTATAGCCCAACAGCTTTTCTTCCACATCAACTACAACAACAACAACAACAACAACACAAGCATTATTGTCTATAAACTGGGAATATGTCATCTCTCTCTCTCTTTTTCTGTTATCAAATTACGACAATTTATCTCGGAAGCACAGGGGCTAAAACGTAAACAATGAGGAGTTGTCTGTGTATGTGAGCCTTCACTCATCATTTTTACCGAGCCGATCTCGATGAGATCGATCTACATATCGGCGTCGCAGTTGTAACTTTGTAGTACATTATACACTTGACAACCGTGAGGTAGTCCACCCGGAGGCTACAAGCAGAATCTGTGGGAGAAAAAGAGGTAAAGATGTGAAAGTCGCTAATATGCATGATAGTAAAGACTTGATCCAGGCTGCTTTCATTTTGGTTGCAAAGTCTGTTAGTGGTTGAGTAAGACGATGATGTTAAAGGACGATCAGCATCACCACTTGGTCCTAATTCATGATTTGTTTTGTTTATGCTCACCCTGTTTAAAATAGCGAGTTTTTTGATGGTATCATATCATAGCGGTCATGATAAAGTCGAGGATAACAAAAAAAATTTGGCATCGCTCTTGTGTTAATAAACATCCCCATGGACGCAAAGTCATCGACTTTCTAGAATTATTAGTAAATTGATCGATAAATAAGGCCATGTTACTTTTTTAGTAGTACGTTGTAAAAGGATATATTATATAAACTTTTTCCTTCCACTTGGCTCATTATTGCTACTTTTAATATCACAACAACCATCCAAGTGAGACTGTAATCTAGAATCATGTTTCGTTATGTAGGAGGAAGGATGAAGAGCTTTTTGCTTATTATACCTCTGTGTTCAACGTGGGCGGACAAAAAAGACGTATATTGGCTCCAGCCTGCGAGTCGAAGAAGAATATGTGACATCAACGGAGCGCACTGGAAAAATAGCTGTTCAGAGAAGACACACGGGCTGTAAGAACAAGTTGGAAATCTGAAAGGGAGCATAAAGAAAGGGTACAAAGAGAGGTAGAAGGATGTAATTAAAAGACGGTATTATGATAGGACTGAAATTTCCTAGTTCAACGATGCAGCGATGGACTAAAGGGTATCTTTTTGTTACGAATGTTTCTACAAGCCAGTGAGTGTGACAGAGCCATAGTAAAAGCCTTTAGTTGTTAAGCAACGAATTTGGAATTGTCTCTGAAAATAAATGAAACAGATCTACTGTAAAGATTTCAGTAATGCGTGTGAGGGTCAGTCTTTTTGGGAATACAATACGAAAATACAGTTGCGTGACATTTACGAGAAGCAATTCATATTTGCATTAGACGCAAAAGAAGCCAAACGCGCAAAGTCAAAATGAAATTGAATACAAGTACGGGCGCGAAACCTTTTTTTTTTTACTAATGCGCGCGCAAGTCATCTTCTTCAGCAGTGCGGATTCCAAGATTATCATCATAAGCGGCCGTATTTTTTAAAGTATGGTACACGGTCGTTCTAGTGTTGAACAGCGTGTACATGCTGTCTATAGCCGTTGGATCTTTTTAGACATTTGCTCGACTTTCTTTGTTGCTTCTCCTTGTCGACCAAACAATTCCACAAGTATACAATAACAAGTGTAGAATCTTGTGCCAACATTCTGAAAAACGTAGTCTAAGGTTTTACTTTATAGTAGTGTTAGCAAAATGTAAGGTGGTGGAATTGGTGAAGCGGAAGACGCGCTGTTCTTTGTATCACTCCGCGACGCGTTTTGTCGGATTTAACTTTTTCGTGGAAAAAAAAAGTTGGGCGACGAAGGAAAAAAAGAGTGCAAGGAAGAGCTTTAAAACACACACAGCATACCCCTCACCTTCCCTCACATGGTTCTCATTACAGAATCGCACTTCTCAAGAGCTTTTGAGAATATAAAACAAGACTCTGTTGAAGGCAATTGCATTCTCTTTGTGGCTTCCGATGTTGATGCTATATGTGCCTGTAAAATCCTTCAGGTACTACCCTAACCACTCAATATATATATATATATATATACAGCAACAGAGGGCACAACTTGCGTATGTACTCCCTCTAAATATGTATATCAATACCTGACGAAAAACACGCGTATTATCTATATACATATTTTTTTCTCTCACTGTAGTCCATTCTGAAAGCCGATTTAATTCAACATAAACTTGTACCTGTATCCGGTCACAATGATCTACAAAAGGCCAGCCGTGGACTTGTTGCCGATGATCCAGACGTAAGCTTCCTTTTGTTGTTTACATATACTTGTCTTTATTTTCGTGATTATTCAGTTTGGGGCTTTTAATAAAAAGTCGAACATAATTAAACTCCTTATGTCTTTCTCTTTTCTGGAAAACCATCACAACAACAACGACGACAGCTTCGAACAATAATCATGATCAACTGTGGTGCTCCACTAGAAGTGTTTGAAATGTTTGGCTCGCGAGACGACGTACGGATCTATGTAATCGACAGCCATCGCCCGTTTAACCTTGACAGTTGTCTTCCAGAAAGCAAAAATGTATTTGTATTTCAAGACACGTCGGAACGGTCGAAATTGAAAGAATATATGGAAGCCTATGAAGATGTCATGGTAAATCGATGCGCATATTTTCTTTTTTCTAATAGTAAACATTATGTGTTGCTGCAATCTGTGTGGGAAAGGGAGGACGGGTTGACCCCTTCATTCAAAAGATGATAACTTTTTTTTCCCAGGTGGATGAACATGAAAACGATAGCGCCTCTGACGCTTCAGATCAGGAAGAGGATGATAACGGACGACCACGACAACGACGACGCTTGGCCGAGGGCGATGGGGTATGCGTTTCTCATTTTTCTCAGTGTGTCTTGATTTTCTCGTTGCATCTTTACAAGATCGTTGTAGTACTCAATGAAAGCGCATTTAGCTATCGCATGCAGAACGGCGGCGAAAACGACAACGCCAACGACGATTATTAACAGAATACTACGAATCTGGCGTCTATCATGCCAATTCTACTGCAGGACAAGCCTATGCACTAGCAACACAACTTGCTCGAACAAACAATGATCTGTTATGGTATAAAAAGCAAAAAAACAGAGGGGGTTTGAGTGTTTGATCACGTCAACGTGAGAAAAGGAGTATGCTTACATAATCCCATGTGCCTAATAGGCTTGCAATCATTGGCATAACATCACAATACATATTTGAACGAATCGACACGGACAAATACTTGAAATATATATCAGTCTTGAACGACGATGTGGCTCGTTTCAACTTGATACTTGGTGAAGGAGCAACGCGGACGGGTGACAGCAGTATACAAACCGAGGACGATTTTCGGTTCATGTTGTTTCGGCACTGGAGTCTACAGGACAGCATGTATCATTCCGGCTATGTAGCAAGCAAACTCGGTCTTTGGAAAGAATTTGGGCGCAGGCGCCTACTCAACATGTTTGCAAAAATGGGGTATGATCATCAAGATAGGTTACGATGGAAATGAGAAAAAAAGCAAGGCTTACATATACCTACTTTTTAACACAAAACCAGATTCTCAATACAACAATGCGAACAAGTTTATACCCACATGGATATGGATCTAAAAACGATTCTCCGCACCAAGATCGAAACCGTTGCACCTCTCTACGGCTTAACCGATATTTGCTTCCCAAGCTTTGCACGCACGTTTGGATGGAAACAACGATTCTCAGCAAGTGATGCCGTGTATTCCTTGGTCACGTTGCTCGAGACAAGTCCAGAGTCCGCGATCCGTCTAGGCGAAGATGTGTTGTGGAATCAGGACGAGGATTGGGATGCGTTAGAAGAAGCGACGGGCGATCATGGGGATGGCTTGGCAAGTCTCCGGAGGCGGTGGTGGATGAGGAATTTCTATACAGTGTACGATTCCATGGATAGGTAAGGATTGTATTCTCTGTCTCAAAAGCAAAGAGCAGCCATGGGGGGAATAGGCGAGAATACTTAATCCCTCCGTATGGAAAAAAAATAGTGCGGAAGGGCTTGAGCGTGGTGTCAAATTATGCATGAAAGTGCAGCGCGCGGTAGTACGACAAAGCACCGCGGTTCTGGAAAAGCGAGCTGTACGGGTGATCAAGAATTTCCGAACCGTGGTGATGCGCGATGGACCCGACTTGCCATTGTTCCAGCATCCGCTGACATTATCGAAACTTGCTCTTTTCCTTACGGATGCATATAGAGTAAGGTCCAACTACGGGTTGATGGGGGGGTTTTTTTTTGCTTAGAGTGATTACTACTGGGAAAAAGGAAAAAAGAAAGTTTACTCTTGGGAGCCGGTTTCTCTTGTTTCTAAATGCCATTGTCGAATATAGGAACACGGTAATAGAAATTTGCCGTTTGTGATTGCATCCTATGACGAAGAGCATGAATCATTTCTTGTGGTAGCAACGACCGGTGCACCTACCTTTGGCGATATTCGAAAAAAGTAAGTCGTTGTATAGTCATCAAGATTCATCATCATCATCGTGGAGGAGGATCACAACTCACAGTCTCTTACGTGCAACGTAGTCCATTCGGTATGGCATTTCAAAAAGCAGCAGAACGCACCCAAGCACGTATTTCATTCGATAGTTTCGAGACATCCGTATTACAGATTCACAAGAACGATCTTGATCTCTTTATTGAAAACCTCTTTGTTGCTGCATAAACCACCATAACTTTCCAACCCACCTATCCATCTACTGCATCCCATTCCATTCACGGCTGCCACCCCAGCCTCTGCATTCTGCATTTCCAACATAACAATAGCAATAAAGAGAATAGTAAGCGTTTTTACTTTAGAAATGCACAAAACCCCGTTGTTGGGAGTCGAGTGCTGGTAGATTGGACCGAGTGAATAGACTAGTCATCGATTTGGAAAATATCTGCACATATCATAGCGTTGGACGGTCAGAAATATTGAGATGGGTAATCAAACTCATATGAAAATAGGGAGCAACTACGTGTGGCTCTTGATGGCTATATATAAACTCAAACTGCATCAGCTTGCTAATCATCTGTATAAAAATAAGAGTTTTGTGCATTATCTTTACGAAATCAACGTATTCAAGAATGGCCATGTTCTTTTTCTGTGCTGGTATGGTATCTCGAGCCCCAACATATAAAAGACATCATACTGAAAAGTGTGACAATGGCGAATACAAAATCTTTGCCTCGCTTTTACTCCTGTGCGAAGGAACATATATCAAAGTGAGTACTCGTTCCATATCTTTTCGGAAAGCTAGTTTTAGAATATTTATTGTTTACTGTAGATCTTACAAAACGTTCAGCTGTGGGTAGGATCTCCAAACGTTCTTGTCTTTATGGCCAGGAACCCTATCAGGGAAGGCACTGTGATTTGCGTCCAAGGGCCGACTAGAATCATAAAGCGAAGGAGTTATGACTTTGACATGACGGTAATAGCGATGCGACTAATAAGCCAGTCAGAATATGATAAGGTCGAATACACTATGGAGGACGCAATTCGGGAGTTGCAACAGAGCAACACGAGAATATAATCCCTGCTATAAGCTATACCACTTTCTTTTTATCTGTATAAGAAATTTAAGACAAGTCCATCTTTAGTGAATAAATGAGGCTTTCTGATTGAACGGATTTACACAAAGAAAGTTTGGTGTGCGAATAGAATTTTTTGGTCACTCAGAGAGTACGAGTGAACTAAGGAGGTACATTCATGACTGGACGCTTAAAGCTATTTCTTCTGAATAGAGATCATAAAATGCTACGAAAATTAATGAGACCCATAAAGCATCCTATACTGAGCACATATTAACTTTTGAACAACGTAGCTACAACTACGATATGATAGCAATGTATTCTTACTAGGGTAGTAGACCGAATAATGTCTCGTAATGCGCGGGCAGCGATGGTGGCGTTGATTATCTATGCATGTCGTGCGGCAGTAACGGTATGGTCAAATGTAACAGAAACGTCAATGGAAGGGTAGAAAAGGAGAAATATGTAGTGTCTTATATAGGAGACCTGCTGACTCTGTTATGACCTCGAAAGAATGGCTTACTGTTATTGGTATTACAGTTACAAAAATCTATAAGATAAATGACAAAAAAGGGGCAACACTGATATGGTGCACACACCTTATAATGCACAATTTTGAAATTTGTTTCAATTTCGAGTTTTCAGATTCCGCTTCTATATATGGTAGTTTTTAATCATCAATGCCTACTTTCCGATGGGAGCTTGCAATTTTGGTTATGAATATGGTGCACACACCTTATAATGCACAATTTTGAAATTTGTTTCAATTTCGAGTTTTCAGATTCCGCTTCTATATATGGTAGTTTTTAATCATCAATGCCTACTTTCCGATGGGAGCTTGCAATTTTGGTTATGAATATCCTCACTTCTTCATCTTCTGCCCAGGCATCCTCTCCCTTTACTTATATGCTTCTATATAATAAAACCATCTTTTGTAATATCTACGAATCTTTGTGGGATTATCGGGGGAAAAGCTTAGTCTAAAGCAATAGGAAGGTGTTTCTGAAGGCCAGCAGAGGAGTTGTCGCACATTCCTCATATGCAGCTGCAATTGCTCCATTATAGTGACGAAGTTACCGATTTCTGTTCAATTGTGCTTTTTAGCAGCTTTCTTTTGATCTTTAGGACGAGGTATAATGGAGAAATTGTGTGGAATACGCATGAGAAGGCAAAGCAAACATGAACCTAAGTTAGTAGCCAGTCGTTAGTGGCTTTGGACCGCTTAAATATGTTACCCATAAGGCTAAACTTGATTTCCGCTTGTTTAAGTATAATCCTATATGTTTCAATTTGCTATCCCTCCGCCAAAAGTGACCAACTTCAGAAGCCTATAACTTTTTTTAAAGAAGCAAGAACTCAAATCTAATCCACAAATATTGTTTTTAAAGGTCTAAAAAACATAAGTAGCCGCTTCTTTTTTTATTTTAAGGTGACATTAAAAAGTAGTAGGGATTCAAAGATTACCCACAAATTTGCGGATTATAAGGTGCTTGCACCATATGTCATTTGTGATCTCTTAAATCTCTTATACGCTCATTACTAAGAAAAGGGCGGCTGATGACGCACTCAGAATGGATGTCTTGTCACCACAAGTTATATTGGCGATTCAAATAAAAATAAGGAAAAATATCTGGGGTATGATAGCGGATAGTGTTATGCAAGTTGTTTGATATCTTATCACCAGGTTGACTGAGCGTGCATTGGATTGGGCTGGAGTAAACATGTGCTGAACGCCGCAGCCAGCGTCTTCATGGGATCAGTGAGACATTGTAGAAAGACTCGGCCATCGTTGTATCGACTGTGGTGGCGTGTGTAACGAAAATAAATAACGCTCTCTTATACGAGTATATGCCCACGGCAATCAGTGATTGCCGATCGTCCAAGCCCGCAATGATGGATGTGGGCAGCTTAAAATAGATTGTCAAGAGCAGAATATGGAGCAGCATGGCTGTTTTCAGCATAGTATGCGCGTCATCCTAGAGCTACTATTATCCATACAGGCTGCTTCTTCAGGTTGATACTGTTGTTTGGTTTGCTCGTTTTAACATCCTTCTCTATGAGGCTTGCTTTATAACCACGCTGCATAAGAAAGCTGCTTATTGCCATGGCATTCAGTAGTCATGACAATCCATGTTCCTGAAAGCCGCTTGTTGCCAGGACAAGCATGTCAAAACACATATTATTTTATTCGCGTCACCCATTTTGACCAATTCCGAGCGAAATGGCGGCTGCTCTTGCGAAGCGATTCGCAGCGCTTTTTTCACACAACCGCAACCAGCGCAATGGGCAGACTCGTAGCAACACGCACATACTCAACCCTTGTTTTTTCGAGGCTCTGAGGCCAAGTTACGATGTTTTTTGCGCAGGGTTTCCATTGTACTTTGCTGTCATGCTCGGCTTCTTCAAGCGCAGACCTTCCGTGCTGGCCATGAATAAAGTTGGGGGTGGGGGGTTGGATGGGGGGATGGAACCAAAGTTGGGGGACGTCACTCGTCCAGGCGAAAACACTACACTGTATACGCTTATGGAGGTGTGGTTTTAGACTGCTTGTCGTCTTTAGTCTCGCATTGAGCTCGCTCGGTGGTCAGCTTAACGAACGATAATCGTAAGCTGGCAAGCGTGGTGGATGCAGAGAAAGGGATTCTTTTCAAGAAAAACAGCGTCGATCGTATATCCTATCTGTCTGCTTTTCCCAGGGTGCGCGTGAAGTATGATACATGCGAAAAAAGCAAACCAGATTGGCTCGGAACGTATCCTCCGAACTAACTTTTTTTCCTTTCCATTTTTCTCGCGAACTGAACTACGTGATGTGCATTGGAATAATAAAACTTTTTTCCTTTCCATTATTTTCGCGAACTGAACTACGCGAACACAGAAAGTAAAAAAAAAAAAGATAAAAAACAGTGCCAAAGTGTGATAATGCGCGTTGTGATCGTGTTACTGTCGTCTGTCATTGTTGTGCGCTTTGTTGAGCACGGAGCTTATCTTTGCCTATTTTAGTTTTTTTGTACGCAAAAAAAAAAGATACAGGAAAGGAAAAAAAAGCAAGCGTCCCTTCAGAATCTCATTGGGCCCAGACCAGCGTTCTTTTTGGAAATGAACTTTGCCCATAAAAAGACACCCATTTTCCGCAGCGTGTTGCTTCCTCGCTTTTTCTTTCACTTTTCACTTTTCACTTTTTCACGATCACATATGGTAAGTTCCTCTCTTTTTTTCTCTCTTTTTTCTGTGGATGTGTGGGAGGGAGGGGGGCTAACGCGGGTTTTGTAGGTCGTGGGTGTGTGGGTGTGTGTGTGGGTGGTGGTGCTTGTTTTATAGGCACGGGCGACGAAGGCGTAAGGTAAGTGGGTGAAGGTAAGTGGGTGTGTGTGTGGGTGGGTGGTGCTTGTTTTGTAGGCACAGGCGACGAAGGTGAAAGGTAGGTGGTTGAAGGTAAGTGGGTGTGTGTGTGTGTGTGGGTGGGTGGGTGGGCAGGTGGTGCTTGTTTTGTAGGCACAGGCGACGAAGGCGTAAGGTAAGTGGTTGAAGGTAAGTGGTTGAAGGTAAGTGTGTGTGTGGGTGGGTGGGTGGGCAGGTGGTGCTTGTTTTGTAGGCACAGGCGACGAAGGTGAAAGGTAGGTGGTTGAAGGTAAGTGGGTGTGTGTGTGTGTGTGGGTGGGTGGGTGGGCAGGTGGTGCTTGTTTTGTAGACACAGGCGACGAAGGTGAAAGGTAGGTGGTTGAAGGTAAGTGGGTGTGTGTGTGTGTGTGGGTGGGTGGGTGGGCAGGTGGTGCTTGTTTTGTAGGCACAGGCGACGAAGGCGTAAGGTAAGTGGTTGAAGGTAAGTGGTTGAAGGTAAGTGTGTGTGTGGGTGGGTGGGTGGGTGGGTGGTGCTTGTTTTGTAGGCACAGGCGACGAAGGTGAAAGGTAGGTGGTTGAAGGTAAGTGTGTGTGTGTGTGTGTGGGTGTGTGGGTGGGTGGGCAGGTGGTGCTTGTTTTGTAGGCACAGGCGACGAAGGTGAAAGGTAGGTGGTTGAAGGTAAGTGGGTGTGTGTGTGTATGTGCGTGGGTGGGTGGGTGGGTGGTGGTGCTTGTTTTGTAGGCACGTCGCGATTGGTGAGACCGGACTGGGCATCTCAATACCAATCGACCTTCCGTGATCCACAAAGCGACCAAGACAAGACCCTAGCTTTGTGGTGAGAGGGTTACGGGAGCAGATGTCGATGCACCTTCCAGTGGTTGCTCCTGTCAGTACCTGCTCAAGAGCAGGGAAGCTAAGACATCGACACCCTA